TCTCTAAAGAATGTGTTGTGGGTGAGCAGGGATGCTCTTAGAACAGTGCTTTTGACCCGTTTTGAGAATCTGAGTTGCTGAGACACTCTGTTGGATGGTTAGGCCATGGTAGAAGAAAAGGTGCAAAAGGAATGGTCAACTATTCTCTATCAGATGTTAAGGAAGAAGAAATCAAAGGAGTAGGATTTCACTTGATATATCCCAGAGTAAGACAATCTTGTCTAATAAGCATTTGTTATAGAGCATTTTCTGAAAAAGCATAGTGCAACCTAAACAGCTTCTTAAAAATCTGAAGTGTGGAGACTATGTGGTGCTATAGACTTGCTACTGAGTAAGGACAACATCTAAAGTCACTAAAAATGTTTCTTGAAATCATGAGGCTGATAATTCTATCAGCCCTACTTTAATAGCCTGAACTAAAATGACAACTGTGTAGTTACATTAACTTACATAGTTAAAAAATAAGATTAATTTATTATCCCAGAGAAAATGTACTAGCGTAGTACATCAGAAAGCATCGATGGATGTTTTTATTCTCTAAAATGAAAGCAAATAAAATTTGCTAAGTTTGAAGCAAAACACTTCTGCTGAAACAAATGTAACAAAACAGCATTTCTTGGATTAAAAACAGATGTGTAGTAAAGGAGTTAAACAATGTACTTGACCTCTAAAGTATAATTCAACAAAAATGTACATTTTATGCCTTTTGGTGCTCAGTGCAGGAAATAGAAAGCAAAACTGATCATTGAATTATTCAGAAACAATTAATTTCAGTTTTAAAAGGTTTTCTTTGTAAAGAAACAAAGATACGAACATGTATAACCACTGGAGATAATTGTATGGACACATGTAAAACATCAGTGGCAAAGAACCAACTGCAAACCAGTAAGTTTCTCTAAAATTTGTTTTTTAAATCACAGAACTGAGGAATTTAGTCTTGAAGTAATTATGGAAGTTGAAGCAGAAACATTGTGGAATACTTCTAACAGAAGAGCAGTTAGCCACATTTTTTTAAACAGCCATTTCTATGCATCTTGACTTTTCTTTACTTCTTAGACTTTCTTCTCTAAACTGTCTTTATTTTTATGTTTTTTTCTTTCTAGCTTTATTGAAATCAGTGTCTCAGAGAGGTATCAGTTCTCCTATGTTCACTGCAGCAATTATTCACCATAGCCAAGATAATGGAAACTAAGTGCCCACCAACAGATGAACAGATAAAGATTGACTGGCATAGATACAATGGAATATTATTCAGCCTTAAAAAGAAGAAAATTCTGCCATTTGCAACAACATGGATAAAACTAGAAGACATTATGCTAAGTGAAACAAACCAGACACAGAAAGAAGGATATTTCATTTCTATGTGGAATCTAAAAAAGTCAAATTTAGAGAGACAGAGGGTAAGAGGGTCTAGGATGAGCTCAGGAAAAGGAAGATGCTGAACAAAATATACAAACTTTCAGTTACAAGATCAATAAGCTTCAAATATCTAATGTATTAACTACAGTTACTATTAAAGTATTCTATGCTGGAAATTTATATTCAGTTTATTTGTGGTATTAGGGATTGATTTCAAGGCCTATCACACACTCAGTCCTTTTGCTTTTAGTTTGTTTTTCCAACAGGGTCTTGTGCTAACTTTGCCTTGCCTGGCCTTGAAGATATATATAACAGACAAGGTATATATATATATATATATATATATATATATATATATATAAAACATACAAGGGGACCAGGGCTTTTCCTAGTGGTCTCTTCCTGTCTGCTGCTCCCTACTGCAGTCTTTCTCTGTAGATACCTACCAGTGTATGTGGTAGTTATTTACATTTTAGCTTCCTAAACTAAAAATCTGATTCAGTCACTTCCTGATTTAAAACCTGAATGGCTTACCTCTGCCTATAGGCAAATATGAATTCCTTAGCAAGGCATTCATGGCTATTAAGAGGTACTCACATCTGCCCCCTCTCCCCCTCCAGTCACATCTCAGGGGCTTCTCTTTCCCACACACTGGACATTGCAGCTACTCTGGACTGCTGGGTGCAACCCAAACACATCCTGTGTGCTTTCAAATCTTGTGTTTTTGCTTATGTCCCCTACCAAGACTTAAACTCCAACCTCTCCCTATTCCTGACTTATGTGCCAGAAAAAAATGGGGCTTCAAGGCTAGGTTTAACATTATTTTCCTTGTGAGGTTTTTCCTGATCTTGTTTGGCAAAATAAGTGGTTTATTCCTCTATGCTTTGAACTTTCTTCAAAGTTCAGAGATTTAGCATCTCTTACCTGCCAGACTTTAAGTTACAGGCAGGGTCTGTTTTAACCTCTTGACCTATAGAGTCTTAAAAGAAAAGACTGTTGCATTTTATGTGCTTAAGAGAGACATTAGCTATTGAACTCATGGAATCTTTGTATGTTCCTATGTAGTCCTTGTGGTTGTGCAGACCAAACAAAGGTGTGGACTTTAAACTTGATTTTTTTAATTTACTGGTTCTTTAGTAAAATCAACTAGTGAGAGTTAGATCACAGGAAGATTCAGCACCAGCTGCTCTTCAGTGCCCTTGGCTCAGTCCTGACTGACTGACCACAGTGGCTGCAGGTCAAGAATGCAGGTTGCTTCCTGCCTTGCAATCACTGTCTTCCTATTTCTGTACCCCAACTCATCCTGTGAAAGTATTCTGAGGGTTACTCAAGGGCATCCGCGTCATCTGCTATGAATAAAGCAATAGCGATCTGTCAGCAAGGGGCATAACTTACATCCATTGTTTGTGCGTTTTGCTTCATTTTCAAAGACGACTTTATAGTCAAGCGCCCAGAACCCAAGACCCCAAAATTATTCAAAGAGACATAGAAATTGAAGCAAAACAGTCAACCAATTACAACTCTTACATAAATATGGAGAGCTTCAATGAAACAAGGGGACAGGTCAAAATAAACGACTTCCGAAGATCTTGAATATTTCCATGCTCAATTTATACTAAAGAAAATGCTAAGAAAAGGGGTAAGTATGGCCTAGGACTGCTAACTGGATTATCGTGGCTTCTGCTGCATGTTCCAAATGATCTTTTTGTAGTTCTACGCTTGGAAGTTTAGGTTTCATGAACAACTCTTACAATTTGTCAGAAAATTTTAAAAATGTCCCTTTTTACTTCTGGTAAAAAAAGTGACTTAAATCACAATTCATAATAAAATCATGTTAGATAATGACAGAAATGAGGATAGAATTCGTGGTTAGATTAAAAAAAGAAATATTTTTAAGGAAGGAAAACTCAGGATCATAAATTATGCTTGAGCAGTTTAAATCTAGCCATGGGAAAATATCACTTTGTGAAAGCAATATTTAATTACTACTGCACTATTAAAAGAAATAATATTGTGAATAAGGTCAGATTTAGTCTTTTCTCTTTCCTATTTAAACATTATTCATGTTCTTATCTGAAATCCACCAGATTTTTATATTGGGAACTTAATGAATGTCCAGACTGCCCATTTTTATTTGTTCTATAATCATAAATAATTCACAATTCAATTTAGTAATATCAAACGCAAAACCGAAACTCTTTTAATAATGATTTATTCTATTTTGAGTTTATTAAGAGCAGAATTCATATCTTCTTTTAAAATGACAAGTCAATGGAAAACTCAAGATTTGCTTCACAGGCAGCCCTACTGATAGCTTGCTATCATTGGCACGTCACAGAGACATGTCCACTGTGAAGGAAAATGAGCCAGGCCCTTAGCGGAGTGCTCCAATTGAAGTTATATAGCAGCAAATTATTGTAAAACAACCAGTATTTTAATTAATACTTAATACCAGAAACAAGACATACATACAAAACTGAACAAGTTTACATCTTTCTGTAACAATGTAGAAATTTTGAACGTTTTACAACTTTGTCCTTTCAAGTCTAAACAGTATTAAGAGTACTACAGATCTTAGACAACTACTCTAAAATCTCAGATGCACTTTATAATTTGTCAGGGCTCCAAATATAAGCAAATTCTAAGAAAACAGAAGAAATATATCAAGCTTAAACTTATAAGAGTTGAGTAATTTAGTGCAAAAGTCTTATTTCCCATGATCTTCTTTTTTCTCCATTCCTATTGTACTCATTTGGTCTCTAATAGCTCAGGAAAAGTCCTGACTGTGAGTACTACACTTAGAGACAGTGCCCAGTGGCAAGGACTGGCTGTTCTCTAAAAGTTGACAGGTTCACCAACAGTCAGGGGTCAAAGATTGGGGGATCTTTGGTATTGCCATAGGTGGAAGACATGCTACAGCTTATCAAGCACCATTCTCCCAGCAAGTCTTTCTGACACAGAACTGTCAGGAGAACAGGTGTAATCCACTGAGGATTGTTGGCTATAACTCAGAAGGGGGAGACTTGAACAGTTTGGTGAAGACAGGATGGAGTTACACAGTTGAGTGGAGCATGCAGGCTGACTAGAAGACTCACTTACAGGCAATCTGAGTTGAGAGACACAGTCCCAAACCAGTTGTGAGACTTTGCTAAATGGAAATTCCTAATGGGCAGTGTCGTGTAATGCAGTGGAGTGTACACTGTGTCTATGAGGAGTGCTGCCAAATTAGACTACCCTTAAGCTCAGTGATCTAATTTGTCATAGGCTGTTTTTATAACAAGATTGACACTTCAGAATTTCTAATATGTGGCAGGGCAATGTTGAAGATGTGTGACAAATCCACAGTTTTGGTCCTGTCTGATGAAGCCAAAAATTGTATTCTTAAAAGCTAAGATTAGGATTTGCACCAGGGATAAGCTTGAGAAAAAAATGGGGGAGAATTCAATATGTGGCTTTCTACTTGCAGAAACAACTGGAAATTAATTTCAATCAATTTAATTTTGGCCATGATCAGCCAGTATCTTTTCCTTTTGGGGTTCCAAGCATATTTTCTTTTCTCATTTTTACCCATGCTGCACTTCCCCACATTCAACATTGCAAATTTCACACATATATAAAGTCATGCAGATGAGTTATTTTACCTTTGCCTGCACCTACATCAGGTGGAAGAATACCAGCTTTAATGAAGGGAAACAGAAATAGGACACTGTATAGTTAGATGTAACACACCGTGAGCATGTATAGAGATACAAAAAAAGCACTTATATTTCTAAAGCATGCAAGAAGAATGAAGCGTACCATATCAGGTGCAGGGGACAAAAATATGCTGGTATCCCCAAACTTACCCAATATTCAGATCCACACATTACTTAAGGTGCACTGTTCATACTTGTCTAGTGTAAGGCTTAGGATATTTCAAAAACAGTTTTTGGATAGAAATGTAAATTTCTTATGCTATGAAAGACAATCAAATGAGTAATCCTTAAGTAATTTTACAATTTAGAGGCATGAAAATGAGACTATTTTGTTTTCTTTGTAACAGATGACATACCAAATGTAAGGTTCCTTACTCAAACATAAAACCAACACACTATTTAATAACTTCTGATTTCTTACTAGAAAACATAAACTGATATATAGACTAGAAAATTATTTCCAGTGAATCAGGACCAGAATTAGACTTACACACATAGGTCTGTATGTCTTTGTGTGCATATATATGTATTATAGGTATGAATATATATGTGTATATATAAGCATAGGAAAAGAAAAAACTTCGTGTTGTACACAGGAAAACATTGCCTTAAATTTTACATTTAAGTATGGCAAATACTGTAATTTCTCACTTCCACTCCAATATTTTAATATATGTTTCAAAGTTCACATGGCCTTGAAAAAACAGATACCAGATATTCCAGTATGAAGTAAATAAATGACTTATCATTTATCAGAACAAGAAATTACACATAAATGTTTGTGCTGATTAGGTAAGATGGATACAGCAGTAAGAAGGAAAGAGAGAGTGGAACAGGAAGATAAAGACTTTTTTTGTGTGTGTAATATTTAGAATTATATGGATTTATACATACCCAGCTTACCTTCATCCACAGTTGTGATTGCTTCTTCTGTGATTTGACTTCCTGATCCTGCTGACGTTTGTGCATAGAAATAAAACTTATATCGAGTGCTGAAATTTAAATTTTTTAAAGTCCAGCGTGTCTTGTTGGCAGGAATTTTTAAATCTACCACAGGGCCTAATTCATGTGTGCTGTTGACTGTCAATAAGAAATAACAAACAAGTATATTTCCTGTTAATTGCTATGGGAATACTATTGGAAATAATTGTTACAAGCAAAATTGTCAAGCCTGGTTTGCAATGATTTTAGCTAACATAACTAAGTAATAACCTTTTACAGCTTCTATAATGTTAAAATACATGATATGATATAGTATAATGTACAAGGGGAATGAGTTCTCCATTGGCTTATAAACTAGGGGAATTTAATAATTGAATCACAATAGTTTTTATTCTGTGATTTTGCAGTGGAATAATTTAATGTTAAATAACTCCAAACATTTCTTTTAGCAGCCTGTGCCAAGGGTAAGATGAGGTCATCTTACCATTTTTATTTATAGATAATGCCCGCCTAGCCTAACGATAGGACCCCTGCTAAATCCCATCCTCAAAGATCTGTTTTATTCTACAGAGCACTTACTTTTCAATACATTTATTCATTGTTTATCTTTAAAAAGTAAGACCTGAAGTTCCTTCTGGAATAACCCTGGAAGATATATTTATATATTCTACTGCTATAAATAAATAATCATCTTATATTTTGAGATAAGAACTATTTAAAAAAAAACCCAAACATTTCTCCTTTCCCTCCTTCTGATAACTTACTTGGCTGATATTTTAAGGTATACTCAGTCAAAATGCCATTGGGGTGGCTTGGTGGATCCCATTCCAAAGTGAGAGAGTCCAGTGTAGGGTTAAGAATCTTCAAAGAGGAGGGTGCACTGGGGACTATTAACGAGAGCATAAATCAGCACGGAGGCTTTTAAACATTTCAAAATGTACTGGGATGACACATTTTGCCATGTTTACAAAAGCATCAAGGTTTTGGTTTTCAGTAACTTGTTTTGATTCAGCTGAAAATACATTAATACAAATGTGTGACAACAACCTATTTATTTTCTTCTTTTTCTCTTACTATTTCCATTTAAGTTCATTAAAACTATCCCCTCAAAATACATAATGACTGCCTTTATAGAGACTCAAAACAAATGTTTTAAAGGAGACAGTACTCACTTGACTTGTAAATGGTGTCTCAATAAAGCAGATGGTTGCCAAGTGAAACCATTCTAACCAGACCTTGGAGAGGAAGCAGCTGTGTTCTGGGCCATTGAGGACAGATTTCCCCAACCACCAGGTATCTCTCAATAGTTAGAACACCTGCCTGCTGGGCTTTGGGCATGGGCCAGGTTGTCCAGGTGCAGAGCCATGCCTATCCTGAGCCCTGACAGCTGCCCACGATCTGGTGGTAAAGGACAAAAGCCCCAAATGTTGGCACACCCCAGCCCTGGAGAAAGCCTGAGGGTGTTGGGTTCTCCAAACCGGGGCTGGCACATTACCAGAGGAAACATGTCTGGTCTTCTTTCATTTACTTCCTCAGATAACAACACTAAGGAGGTGGACTTGCTTGCCTCCTCCCCTCTTTTGCCTGCAGCCTAAAACCATGCCTGGAACATAGTTTTAAGTTTCTAAGCTTCCTCAAACCAATAAGTGATTCTTAACTTTCAGGCATTACAGACCCCTCTGAGAAACTGATGAAACAGCTACACACTCCCCCTAAAAAAATACATGTACATTTTGTATACAATTTCAGGAGGCTTGTGGAACTCTTAAATGGCTACATTGATGTCCCGAAAAGGTCTACAGTCTGCAGGTTAAGAGCTTCTGGTTAATATTGTCAGTATCCAAGGCCATGCATGTCGAGTATGCGACATCATGCATGACCTTCCTTCTCACCACTTCTGGCCACGTAACTTGCAGTTTACTGTAGGAGCTGTGTTGGTTCATGCCTTTGTGTTTTCAGACACACTACTTCCTCCTTTCTTTATCCTCTAAGCATCTGGTCAGCTTTTCTACGACACCCTCCTCTGAGTCATCCAAAGGATCAGGGTGGGGCCTCATTGATGAAAGCCTCCAGGGCAAGGTGCCCTGGACCTTCAGCTCTCATCTGTCGTGATGTAAGCTGGGACTCCAGAGACATTATGAGCCCTCAGCCAGGAGCCAGGACAGCACGCGTCTGTCTGTGAACGGCTTTTGTAAAGAGGATCTTTGCAATCCACACAAACTATCGGACATTATCATGGCTGGCTTAGTGCAAAATTCAAAATAGATAAAGCCTACGTTAGTGCCTTTTCCAACCTCTATCCTCGTATGGCTTTTTTGTTTGTTTTTGTCATGCTGGGGGTGAAATCCAGGGCCTTACACCTGCTAGGCTAGTACTCTACCTCTGAGTTACATCCTGTGCCCTCGATCCTTCTTACTACCTGGTCCTCTCTCTCTCATCCTCTAGTCTCCCATTCCTTCTGGTCCAAACTCTTATCTACCCTCTCCTTCATCAATGTGTATTTGATTGTCCCTTACTATCCTACAGTGCTCATACTTGCAATGACTTTTCCCTTTTTTTCTCAATCCATTTGGTCAAGACTTACATCTTCCTCTCCCTCTTCTCTTTCTTCTTTTCTTCTCCCTTTCCCTTTCTCTCTCCAGGCTCTCATTGTATAGCCCAGGCTGGCCTTGAACTCACAATCCTTCTGTCCCTGCCTCCTGAGTGCTAGGATTACAGGTGTGTACCATCACACAGAAGATTTCCAACCCTTTATTCAGCTCAACTTGATAAAAAATTATGGAAGTGCATTGAGAAAGAAGCTATGTAAGTCAACTTCAACTGACAGTAATATTTTCCTTTCTGAGCATTTTTCTTAAGTATCCATTTGGTAATCATGCTTTGCAGATGAGTCTGCTGAGGCTTAGAGAAGTTACAGAATGTCCTAAATAAACATCACATCAACAAGATTTTAGATAGTGAAAGTGTAGAAAAAAATTTTGAGGGAAGAAAGAGCATTCAGGGGCAACATTTTGATTTTGAAGTGTTCCATGTATACTTTGTCCATATATGAGAGACATTTTGCCAGCTTTGTGTGTACTATGGAAAAATCACATTTGACTTCCAGAATAAATGTTCCTTACAGGCCCATCTGTCATGCAAAGCCTCTCAGGCCATACCAAAGACTCCTGGATCTCAGAGACATGCCTATTCCCTACCTCCTTCTGGAGTGTGAAAGGCTCTGTCAGGGCTGGCCGGGCCCTCCCCTTTCCCGTTGACCACTCGGACGTTGAGTGTGTAGTGACTGAAGGGCTCCAGCCCAGGCAGCATGCCATGTGTCTTGCTGCCTTGGAAGGTGAGGATCTTTTTCTCAATGTGACGTCTGTTTCTTTTGGATGAACTCTGTGCCTTCCAATAATAAATCTGAAGTGGCAAGAACAAAAGTCAGGGATGCACAGGCAGCAAACAAGACTCCTCATGCACACAAAACTAAAAGCTACTTTTCCAGAAAATTCCCTTGGTGCACTTTACAAGAAGATTAGTAGCAAAACTAATGGATATTGATTCTGAGGCAAGAGGAACTGAAGCCTTCAGATAACGAGGAAAGTAAATTAAGCCTGCATGACAAAACTGGGCTATGCTATTTTGTGGGAGCAGAATAAACGAAATAAGTGAAATGTCATGAGGCCCAGATGGTTCTCTCTAGAACATGAAGAAAATAGATGAAAATAAGGATTTAAGTATTTTTCTTGTATAAAATATTCTTAAAAATAAAAAAATACTGCCAATGTTTATATACTTTTCCAGAGTTAATACATGTTCATGTATAATAATTCAGTTGGTTTTTTCCTAAAAACCACAGTGAGGCTGTGGTTTTTATTGTTATTATTCCTATATACAGATGAGCCTATGGGCCTGTGGGCTTTTACAAAGTGACCCTCTACTGCAAGTCTAGGGCTTTTCCATTAAGCCAAACTGTACTACTCAATTAAAAATACTTATTTTTTGGTATTAAATTGTAGGCACAGATTTTAGAGAGATGGATAAGAAAAGTGTTTATTAAATTTGGTCATAAATCCAGAATTGTTGTTTGTTAAGATCTTTTAAGTGATTCTTGGAAATTTAAAGGCATTTTTCGAGAAAAGTCAAAATATAAACAGACCTTGGCCAATGTTAGAAAAAGTAAAAAAAAAAAAAAAAAAAAAGGTGCCGTACAAAAAATATCCTCTAGGGGTCAGTATTAAATCAAAAGTGTGTGTGTGTGTGTGTGTGTGTGTGTGTGTCTCTCTGTGTGTGTGTGTCTCTCTCTCTCTCTCTCTCTCTCTCTGAAGTTCTTTGGCTGCCTATCAATCAGAAATCTCTATGAATCAGTCATTCTGTGCTTTCCAAGAACGAAGAAATTAATTTTCATAAAAATGACCTAGTTAGGAGTATATAAATAATAGTCTAAAGTGATATGAAGTACTTGCGTTGAACATGCAAAATTATCCTGATAACAATTCAGGTATTTGTTAAAGTAATTCAGATCACTACTAGGTGCAGTCTGTTACATTCTAGTTCTTTAAAAGAGTTCCCGGTGGGTGGCGGTGTGAGGGGGAGGTGGCACAATGTATACACATGTAAGTAAATGTAAAAATGATAAAAGGAAAAAGAAAAAATAAACAAAATGTTCCTTATTTTATGGGCATGTTTACTTGTCAGAATGTTAGATCTTCTGTGGAAAAAAATGGAGAAAACATTTTTTCCTCATGAATGAGTAAGATTTCAAGTTAACTCTACTGGGTTTTTTAGATGTGGCCCTGCCTGAGATGACAAATGAACTCTTGAGTTCCTGAGTTCCTGAACAGATGAACCAAGTAACTCCAACCTCTTCCACCGTGTGACATGTGGCTTTTGCCAATGCCCTGTGACAAGGAACAACCACTGAATGCCTTCCTTCACTTGCCCGATAGCCTTGTAAGTGTCCTCGGATGCTTTTCAGAGGTACTGGGTCCCAGTGCACTTCAGCCAGGGTACTGTTGACAACATTCACACGTACATTCCCAGGAGCCACCATGGGGACTAGGGAAAGGTCAGGGGAGGGGTAGAACTGTTAGTGTTCTTTTGAATTTCATGCAAAAATGTCACTATCTCTTGCAGCATGTCCCAACCTATTCGATAGAATCTATAGGATCCTATGTGGATTGTAGATTCTTTTGGCTATCTGGTCATTTGACTTAGTGACAAAAGCTTAAAAAAAACCTCTTTAACATTCTGAATCTGCCCTCCCCCATGTGCGAGAGATAGAATGCACTGCCTTGTACATGCTATGCCTGCCCTCTATTACCGAGTTATACCCGTCTCTGTTTCTTACATAGCAGGTCTAAATTCAGAGAGGTTAGCAAAATGCTTGCCACCTCCCTCCCCTGCAAACCCCAGCACCTCTGGAAGCAGCCTTGGTGGGTTGTTGGGCTGGACAGTAGCAGTAAGGAAATAACATGAGACACTTACGGTCTTCTCCAGAATGTCCCATGACCACAGCTGGCTCCGGAGCAAACCCCGCATCATTCAGGGCCTGAACTTTTATCAGGTATGGGACAAAAGTTGGTGTTCCAGACACAATATATTTGGATACATTTGCCACCAGCACTGATGTCCATTCATCATCGCCATCTTTCTGGCGCCAGCTCACTTTGTACTGAAGGCCTGGACCATTAGATTCAAAACCATTCAGGGGCTACAAGAAAAGCCAAACAGCCAAATCTTTTACAGGAACATCAGCTCCAATCCCCAGACCTAAAGAAAGTGAGCAATGAAACACTAAAATACAAGCTATTAACCATTTTCTCCAGGGACCTCTCATCTTTTTTTTCACTTGTGATGAGATTCAAAGCTTGTTTGGGATCAACATTTCAAAGGTTGTAAATTACTCTGTCAAAGCAGTTAGTTACCATAGAAACCTTTCAAAGTCTGGTTCCCATAGGCAAGGGTGGGTCAGTTTAAAAACATTACCGTTATCTAGATTACTTATACATTCCTGCTTGTGTGATCGTACATCATTGTCCACTTTCTTGGAGACTGAAATTTACAAATGTTTTCCTTTTTTATTATTGCTCTGTCGTTCTATCCTATATGTATGTACATATGTATGCGTACATACATATATACGTATACAAGTATATCCACATATGTGTACACATAAGCATGTGTGTGTGGATCCATCTAAGATAGGTTTTAAAATTACACAAGTAAATCCAGAATATACAGACTAGCCACCTAAAGATAATAAATTGAATAGCTGCTGGGAATAGCTTGATGTTTGTCTTCCAGTGGTTTTATATTATGATGATAATACTAGTTAGCATTTTTCAGCACGTATGTGTGCTAGGCATTATTCTAGATGGAGTTTGTGTTATTAAATTTTCCCATCATACAGACACCCAGCAGATGTTCAACAATTGGCTGAAACACTGAAAGTAGCAGAGATAGGATTTGCACTCATTCATTTCCTCTCCAGAGATTAAGCTTTTTAAACTACTATACAATATTGTCCCTTAAAGAGGTATTTTTGCCCAGAAATGGGTAAAATAGGATTTTAATGCAGATTTATTTTTAAACATTTTCTTTTCATCCTAAAAACCACTGAAGAAAGTTGAAGGCTCCATAGCTCACCTTCCACGTAATCACCAAATTGTCTGGCTCTGATCCTAGTCCTTCCACAGCTGTGGGATTTTTTTCTGGTTCTAGAAATTAAGCAGCCACATATGTGTAAGCTTTGGTCCTTTGCAAAGAGTGGAAAACTTGTCTATTTTATGTTATCTCCCTGAAGTTCCACTTCACCTGCGGCTTTCGTCAGATACTGTTCGGATGCCTCACTGGGCAAGCTCCTCCCAATGCTGTTCACTGCAGTCACTCGGAAGGAGTAGTTCACATAGGGAGACAGCTGCAGCTGGGCTGTGGTCTGCGTTCCAGAAACTTCAGCTTGGTGGTGCCACAGTCCTGCCTCGTGCATTCCATCTTCATATTCAATGATGAATTCTGACCACAGTACACACACACACCACAAACCCAAGACAGTGAATTCAGTCAACCTAGGGGTCAGTTTCTAGCCATAACGGAGCAATCAAAAGTAGCTAAACACAAATTAGTTTACTGTCAAGAAAAATCCTGTTATGATATTTTGATTTTGGAGCTCTCTCATTATGCTCAGTACCGCAGCACGCACAATAATATTTGTCTCAAGCATGTGAAGTTTAGTTTAATTAAAACTATTTAGAACTGTTCGGCATTGGTGGCTCACGTCTGTATTCCTAGTTTGATCAGGAGGATCATGGTTCAAAGCTAGCTTGGGCAAATAATTTGTGAGACCCGATCTCAAAAAAAAGCCCCACTACAAAATAGGATGCTGCTGGAGTGGCTCAAGTGGTAGAGTGCCTGTTTAGCAAGTGTGAGACCCTGAGTTCAAACTCCAGTACTACTAAAAAAAAATACTTCTTCGAACTGACCCATATAAGGAAAAATTTAAATTGTGAAAAGATGATCAATGTTTTAATACTAGAAAGAATGAAAACAAATGCACCAAAAGGCCATTTTTCACTAAGCATATCGGCAGCAAAGGCTTAAACATGTTTTGACTGTGACACAGGAAAAGAATCATTCTCTTTGTGGAAAGCAGAAATTGGTACAACTTTTAGACAGGATAATTTAGAAAATCTAAAGATATTTAGCCCACATAACCTTTGAGCAATTGTACTTGTAGCAATTTATTTTGAATAAATGTGCTTATGGCTCTGGTAGAAGACCCACAAAAAAAAGAATCAACATTGCAGCACTGTTTGCAACTGAAGTGACCTAGTTGCAAGCAAGCTAAATGTCTATCAATAGGACACTGATTAAACCAAGTATAATCTATCCAAACAGCAGAATACTCTGCATCTGTTATAAATAAGCAGGCTTGCTTCATTTGTGCTGAACTAGAATGATTTCTAAGTGCATTTTTAAGTGAAGACCAATCCAGGTATAGAAGAATGTATGCTGGACACTACATTTTTGTAAAAGTAAAAAGATTTGCTACGCCATACACACTGAACGTACGTGCATTAGCTGAGACATAGCCTGGTAACAGCGGTGTGGCCAGGGGAGTTGGCAATCAGGAGTGCGAGGAAGATAAACTTTCCAGTTCATACCTGTGAATCTACTAAAATTTTGTGGTCTGTATATGTTTTACTCTTGTAAAAAAATAGGTATTTAGATATTCTTTGTCTACTATGTGCAGGTATCATGATATGATACAAAGATGAATGAAAAATACAGTCTGTGTTGCAGTGGTCCAAAACTAAATCCCTGGAGCCCTCCTTTCATTCTGCTTTCCTTTGCTGGTGATTTCCGGTCTCATCCCTGGATGACTTTCACATTTATATCTGTATGCCAGATCTCTCCCCTGACTGTAGACTTGGATAGCCAATTGCCTACTCTACAAGTCTACTTGTTGTCTACAATAGCATCAAACTGGATATAATCAAAACTAATTCTGACTTTTTCCCACATTGGTAGTGACAACTCAGATCAAAACTTTGGCTTTGATGGCTCTTCCCCTTCTTTCACATTCTTAATAGCCCTGGTGGCCATGCCATCAAGTCCAGAGCTGGCCATTTCTCACCTGCATCCCTCTCACTCTAATTCAGCACACCATCACTTCTCCTGAGTGAGTTACTACATAACTTCCTAATTTAGTAATTCCCATACTTGCTCAGTTCATGGTGTAGTTGGAATATTAGTACCTTTTTTTTCATGTGTTAAGTAGATAGGTCCATACAACTTAATGAGTATTTGTGCTATAGCAATTTAAAACCTATTGGGCACTGCACGGCTTCTCAAACCTTATAAACCCACTGGGCACCACCTTCCTCATTTCCTGTTCCACACTGATTTTCACATGGTACTTACTTTGGTGTCATAGAAAATGCTTTGCAGAGATATGACATTATCATAAATGATACAGCAATGTAACATTGAAAATGTAAACTGCCTCAAGCTAATTTCCTGTGGCGTCTGACAGAAGTCACTGTGTTTTTTTACATATCAAAATTTCATATAAAAACTTTAGAATTAACCTAATGCTCCCCTGTGAATTTGCTGAAGTACCATAGGACATTTCAGGGCATAATTTGAGAACTGTGGTTCTACCAGGTCTTTCTGCTTCCCCTCTTGTGTTTCTATAGACCATGTTCAATGAAATAGCCAGTTATTCATTCATCACTCTTCTGCTTCAATCCTTCCAAAGGCTTCCTAACCCTTACAGTGGCTTATAGGCCTCCCCCCTCCAGCCCCACTCCAGCAATTCAACTCCATGCTCAATGTCCAACTCTTCACCTCTGTTGCCTTCTCTCCTACTTGACTTCTCCAATTCCTTTCACTGCAGCCATACTGGCCTCCCAGCAGACATGCCTCTGCCTCAGGGGGATACTTTTATCCTTTGCTCTCACTGGAAAGTTCTTTCCCCAGACAACTGCATAGTGTGCTCACCAACTTCCTCCTCATGTCCTGATAAACATACTCAAGTGTTATCTTCTTAGTGAGACTTGTCATACCCTCCCTATTCACAATTTTACATCTGACACCTTGTCTTCTTCTCCTGATTTGATTTTTGGAAGGCATACACACACAACACAACACACACACAGTTATGGATAGATACCTATATGTTTGTATCCTCTAAAAGGCAAATGCTAAGACAGAATTCCAAGTGAAAGAGATTTGTTCAGGGAAGACAGAAAGGTGAGGAAGCAGGAGTAGACAAAGGAAGACTTCAGAACACAATGTTGGTCTCATGACTGTAATGGAGAGGAAGAGGAGTTGGGAGGGGTGGGCAGAACATCAGACTGCAGAATAGCTCTGAGATAGTCTCAGCTGGGTCAAAAAGGGGCAAGAGTAAAGTCTGCCCATGAGAGGAGTTCTGTATCAGGTATGGCTGAGCTCTAGGACCTGTGCAGTGCTGCCACTAGTCCTCCCCAGGAGGTGTGTGGCCTCCTGTGAACATTACTGATCCTGAGCAAAGAAGCAGCAGATAGAGGCTGTCAGTTTAAATCCCCTGCAGCAGGTTCTTGTGAAGGTAGATGGAGCAGTGTCTCTGCATGTATGTACATATACATGTATGTATGTATTTGTATAAACAATATACACAATGACATTATACATAATAGAATAATACTAACTTTATTGTATTTGTCTCCTCATCTAAGATATAAGCTCCATAATGGAAAGAAGTTTTGACTTCTTTTTTTTTTTGGCAGTTCTGGGGCTTTGAATTCAAGTCATTGAGTTTGCTAAGCAGAGGCTGTACCACTGGAGCCACAATTCCCCCAGTCCTTTTTGCTTTAAGGTATTTTTCAAATATGGTCTTGGATTTATGCCCAGGCGAGCCTGGACCACGATCACCCTATTTATACTTCCCACATAGCTGGGATGAAAGGCACACCACCATACCCAGCTTTTATTAATTGAGATGAGCCTTGTGAACATTTTCCTGGGCGGGCCTTGAACCTTGATCCTCCTGCTCTCTAGCTCCCGAAAAGCTAGGATTACAAGTGTGAGCCATTTGCCCAGCTTAACTATTTTGTTTTAGAACAATTTTTGGCATGTAAATTGGCACCAAATAAATTTCTGTTGTGTGAATGAATGAAAGAGCAGAAATGGCTTGAAACCTAATAGTACCATTTTAACACAGGCAATCAGAGTCTCCAGACATCTTAACCAGCTAACTCTGCTAACGTGTTAGATTAGCTGGTGCATTCAGCCTGTTCTAGTCAAGGACACTGGAAACAATTGAGAAAGGGGCACCACTGAGTATAAGATAGAGAAGAAGCATTGGTTGTTTTTTTGGGGAATATTCTGCTTTGTCGGAGGTGCAGTCCATCTATAAATCAATGTACCTATCATTTTAAAATCAGAATCATAGTCATCAGAAAGGCAGTCTTCCTGCAGTCTACACTAAAGGAAATAATGTACCTCAGTGTCTGCCTTCGTAAGCATCTCTCCAGTTTTACAATTAAATTTCTAGGCTTATCCATATTCTAACTTATCAAGCTCTCCCAATACGCAGTGTAACCTGGTCTCTCATTTGATTTTATTCCCTCAGCTTATGCCATCACAGGAGGAGTTGATATGGTTGAATGTACCCTGCTATAAAGTTGGAGTGAGGAAAGAGACCTAGATTGGAAGTTAATGGATCTGATGCTTACACCTAGTTCTGTTACCACTGAGGGTCTGAACAGTCTTTTTCCTCAACAAGTCTCAATTCCCTAATGTGCAGACTGGGCCTTTTAGCACCTGTTCCTCCTATACTTTTCTCCTAGAAGAAAGGGGCAAAATGAATGACTAGCAACATGCATTTTACTATTGTGATAGAAAGTTAAGGTGATTCTTATAGATCTTAAACACAAATAACAGTTTGATTAATTAAAATCTTCAGTAATTAATTAGTGTCTTGTACCAGAAGGTATAACCAGAAATAACATCATCTCTGAAGAGAACAATATAAATATTTTGGTTCTATCAGTAATAAAGCAGAGAATGCCAATAAATATCTTGGCGAGGGATTGTAGCTGCAGGTTGTGAAAAATATTGCTTCAAAAATAGCCATGAAATTTATCAGTGATAAAGCAAGTAACACTACATACTTGTAATAGGGCTATTGTTGTCATCGCCTGGTGTCCATGACAGCTGAACACTTTTGTCGAGTTGATTAGTCAATTCTAAATCAAAGGGAGGATTTGGGACATCTGTAGACCAAAGACATATATCATGGTTAACTGCCCATTTTTAAGAGCTTCTCTTTTATTCATGATACTCAGCACAGAGGGGACATCTCAAAGACACAGCACACTTAGCAGTCAATGGGCATGCAGGGAAATGAAATGGGGGCAACTGAGGCAGCAGGAACACATGAGCACACTCAAGCCAGCCCAACAAGGAGTTCTGCTTGCTTGCTTTTCAAATGAAATGAAATTATTTGTGGCCCAAACCAAAGAAGCAGACATAGATGGTTCATTGGTACCCTCAGTGTGTGTCATAAACAGGAACAAACACAAACAGTAGTGATCAAAGCTTAATTTCTAATACATGGGAAACAGAATGGCAAAAGCTGAAAAACAAATATAGGAAATTGGAGTGCAGTAGTTAAAGGAGATTAAATTGTTCTTCTGACACATGGTGAATGATAGATTTGGGGACTCCTGGAGAATTTTTATGTTTTTAAGGATCAGTAGCCCTCAGCATGCACTGGTGTGTTTACGCTCAGAAACCTGTTAGGACAAAGGTAACTCAGAAGCAAGACTGTCTCACTGAATGATGCTTCTGAGATTCAGAGACTTTTTTTTGACCTTGCATCTGTAAGTATCTCTGGCTCTTGGAGGACCAGAGATCATATAAATATATGGGCTCTTCTTTCTCTTCAAGTAAATGTCTATAAAGGACAGATTTATATAGAATAATTAATACTATGTAAAATCTATCTGAGATTATGCCACAAAATTAATTTTTGTATTTATGTGCTGAGCAGAGATGAGCATTTTCTTGGCAAAAATATTTCTGGAAATAATTTCTTATTTATTTTCCAAACTCAGAAAAGTTACATGATCTTGATGTGCCTCTCCTTTTCTTCTTTCTTTAGTGGCCTATCCTGTATTAGCACACAGTGAATCAGTTGTCTCTGATATATAAGTCAAATGTTCTAAACATCCACTTTATTTTTTATTTTTTGCCAGATGTTCCCACCTGTAATCCCAGTACCGGGAAGGCTAGTTTGAAGCTACATAGTGAGACCCAAAAAATCCATTCTTCCCTGTATAAATTTCTCGAAAATATAATCCCCAAACAACATTTTTTTCCAAAACAAATTTTAGTAGAATGATGTAAGAAATAGTTTTTTCATTCTGTGAAATATGGATGATGGCTTTTGATAAACCACTAAATTACTTCACAGGGAAACTATCAAAGAAGGACTTTAGTCAAATAGAATAGTTTGATAATAGCATACAAACTGTTTAAAAACAACTATTAATAAACTCAGTGAAGGATTCTAATATTATAATGAAGAGATAATTTATTGCATAAATGAGGGACATGCATAACAACTGACGGAGCCCTTTTACTTAAAGAAATACAACGTGATAGAGAAAAGAGAGTAATATTTTTTTGCAAATGTGAAATTGTCTGACAGAAAATAAAGAAGACTTGTATTAGTTTACCGTAAATGGGAGCTGGAGTTGGAGTAGGAGCTAGAAAGAACATCAATATAAAGGAGTTTAATCAAAATTAGTAAAGGAAAGGTACAAGATAGCGCAAGAAGACAAAGACTGCACATGATTAAAGATGTAAAATTAAGCCTCATGCTTAACTGCGATGCATGTCATTGATAAGTAAGTACAATTTAGGAATACAAAAAACCATTTAATTTTAAGTAAAGTTGATTATTTTCCCCAATTTTGTTATGAAAATGTCACTAAAATACATATCCACTATTTTATACCAGTCTGCTATATAGCATATTTACACTGATATGATCACCTCAAAGACATCTTTCAAAGTAGAAAAAAAGTGGGGATTTACTTACCCATATTGTAGTTATAAAATTATAACAAATAAGTGTTTAACATTAATAATTTTTGTTTTTCTTTTCTATCTATAAAGGGAAGCTGGTTATGATGTATTTGTTGTAGTTCTTACCAACAACACTGAGCACAGCACTGGCAGAAACCTTGTCCAGGGTTGTGTTGGCTACACACGTGTAGGTTCCACCATCATCGTCACTTACATCAGCCACCACCAAGAGATCCTTGTCAACAGTGAACCTGTGAATATAATACATCCAGAGCAGCTGAAACGGACATTCAACCACACCCATGACTGATTCACTAGTGTGAAAATTTGTGAACTTGAAAGAGAAATATGATAAATATTTTAGCAAATTAGAGCAAAAATCCTGCATAATATCTATCACTTTGCTCATGATTAAAGTTGGAGGGATATTAAATATAATGATTTTAACGAGGTCCATGAAATCCTAGGAGCTTCCTTGATAACTGCCCCCCCTCCAAGGGACAAAATATCACACAGTATCCCACAAATGTGAACAATTATTGTGTGTCAATAAAAATATGAAAAATTAATAAAAGCCCTCAAGGGCATCCTCAGGTGACATGGGGGCCTTTCCATAGTTACCCACACTATTTAAATGCAAAAAAATTGTAATTTGTTTTATTACTAGATCAGCAATCTCCACTAAGAGTTTTCTAGAGGTTACTCATGGACATGAAAAATTGCTCAGTGGCTCAAAAGTCAATGTACACAGACTCATATATGATTTTAATGAGGCTGTATAAATCATCAACTGTCTTGCCAGGTAATTGCCAACTTACAGTTCAGCTGACTTAACTCGTTGGTCATTTCTTCATATTTCCCTCTCCTATTTATTGAATCAGATTCCATAAATAAAACTGACTAGCTCAAGCATTGAACTAAGTGGAAACCCTCGGTGCATAGAGGAGAACTGTGGGATTATTGACAACCAATGGGGCACTATTCAGGCATCCTATTGCAGCTCAAGCTAAGAAGGTGAGCTGCAAACCGACCACCAGAATACAGTATTCCTTGTAGCAGGGAACAATGCTTGAAGTGGCTGGATTGCTAAAATCATACATCCAGTTCTGTGCACTTAGTGTGTTTACTATGTCTAATGGAGCGCCTCAGCTGGAAAACATCATGACTTTTCTTCCATTGCCACCTAAAGGACTGCAACATGCACAAGCCCTTTTAAATGTTTTTATTAGTCTTCCCCTTCCACTAGTGTGAAAGGTAAAATCAAAAGAAAACTCACTGTCCAAATAAAAACTCAAGTCCTTTAAGATACTGGCAAGGATTCAGGCACACTCTGATGATTAAAGAGATTGTATTTCTGCTTATTCACAGAATGAGAATAAAAACATCTGGTGAGACTTCACTGTTCAAGGTACAAAACAATGGATGTTGTCCAAAGCCTGAAGGGGTTTTCCCATCCCAAATTACACAGGAGACCAACATACAAAGATAGACCAGCATTCTCAGGGTCTTATTTCAATCACTCAATATCTTTTTTAAGGTCTGGATATTTTACAGTAGGGAGAAAATGCACATCTCCTTATTTTACAGACAGTAAGACCTCAGAAACTAAAACATCATCATTAATTACTACACAATAAACCTTTGGCTCAACAGCAGCTTACAGAGAGAATGAAGACAGGGGAAAAAATTGTCTTGAAATACCTTTCGTCATTGGGCAGCTCACCATTGTCCTTCAGCCATGTGACAGTAGGGATTAAGGTGTAATCATGTCTCACTTTGCATTCAAAGGACACAGTGCTCCCTCTTTGCACAACTGCATATTCAGGCTGCTTAATGATCCTTGTTGGATCTGAAATTCAGTTATTATCCATTAGCAAATCTGGAGAATTCGCTCAGAGTCACATACTCAGAAACAGTCCCTTACCTCTTCCTTACCTTTGATTTCTAAGTGAACTTCATTCTTTGCCATCCCTAATTTATTCCTTGCAACACAAGTGTAAGTTCCTGTACTATCCTTTTGGGCCACAGGAATTTCCAAAGTTCCATTTTCATGTAAAACATAAATGTCTTCATGAAGAGCTCTTCCTTTAGTGCCTTTAAACCTTCATTATAGAAAACATGTCATAAATTGAAGTCAGATATAAAATGCCATGTTTAAGGTCAACCAGGACAGTGATAAAGTGTGGAGTACAAGGACATTTGGAACTAGTTCAAGGACACTGTATTCTTGTATGTCAGAGGAAAATCTAAAGATAAGACATAAAATTGGAGAATTCAACAATAACTGGCATTTGTAAAATTAGGCTGATAATACATAATATTTAAACTATAATTTTATGAGAGACCCATAATTTAATAAACACATTATTACCTATTTTATCCTAAGTATGTGATAAAATAAGCATAAAAAAGACTGCTCTGTTTTTTACCTGCTCCCCCATAGTCTACAGGCTGCAGAATTAAAGAGATTTTTATTTCAAGGCTATAAAAACTATATTTTTGGTAAGACACAGTGGCTCATGTCTGTAATCCTAGCTACTCAGGAGGCAGAAATCAGGAGTATCAAGGTTCGAGGCCAGCCCTGGCAAAAAGTTCATAAGATCTTATCTCAATCAATAAATTCTGGGCATGGTGGTGGATGCCTGTCATCCCAGCCATGCAGGAAGCAAAAATAGGGGTATCATGGTTCAGGCTTTCCCAGGCATTAACATGACACCCAATGAGAAAAATACCTAAAGCAAAAGAGCTCAAGTGGTAAAGCACCTGCCTAAGAAGTGTAAGGTCCCAAGTTCAAATTTTAGCTCTACCAAAAAAAATCTGCATTTTTTGAAAGTGTGAGAAGGCAAATATTCAGGGTAGGGAAAAGAAAAAGCACACATATCAGAGGATGAGGCAAAGTCAAACTGCTATCTAAGTGTTAATCTTGTCATCTTCACTCAAAATCTGAACAGGCATCTGTGTTTCTCTTCTCTGTGGAGAAGATTTTCCCTTTGATCCTAAATCTGCCTTCACATTCATCTCAGTAGCTGAAACCCAGCACAGCATCTAGGACTTCACAGGTGGTCACTAGGTGAGTGACTGTGCCAACTGTCTTTCACGGATTCTCAGCAGTTGCCTGTCCTCATTTTGTCTCCTCTACCTCTTATAAAGCTAGCAAGCCTGCAGCAGGTAGAGGACATGTACAGGTGTGTGAAAGAGGATGGTGTGAAATGGGAAGTAAGAGGACACAAGAGAGCTGGCTGGCCCCAGGTCAGGAAGATCCAGTGAAAAATGCACTAAAGGGAAATGCTGGTAGTAAGTTCTGTGTGGGCTTTCAGAACTTCTCTCCCACGCAACTTGATATTTTATTATCAAGGAATAGGACAAAAAAATGTCTCCCATCCAGTGCCTCCAACCACCATTCACAAAGTCTCAGGTAGTGTTGATGGCATTGTAAAATACAGCCTTAAATTTGAAAAATTTACATACAGCTTTGTGGGTTGATGGAATTCAGTATTAAAGAGATTATACACGTGAAAGCATGTTAATAAATATTTGTAAATGAGTGAATTCAAAATCGATAGTATGTTGGATTGCACACTGCATTTCTTCTATCTGTTCTTTGACTAAAACCCAATAGATTTAGAAATGCAAAGACTTTAGCAAATCTAAGTGTTAAAATGCAAATAAGGCCATTACTTACCACTCAATGGTAGGCAGAGGAGACCCAAAGAAGGCACAGTCTAGCAAAGCAGGCCTATTTGCAATGACTTGGTAGAGTGTGTTTGCAGATGTGAGGATTCGTGGTGGCTCAGCTAAAAATTTTGAAAAGGTATACTAAATATTAGAAGACATTTTAGGTTTACATTGCATTTTGCTTTAAGGTCATTAAAGTTTATGGTAAAGTGCAGCAAACACATTTCTTCCCTTTTGTTCCCTATCAGACATGACAGTACCGTCACTCAAGGTAGGAATAAAACACAGGTTTCCTCCTTCTACCTTACGCTCAACTCGTTACTCAGGCATTTTTAAATTACGGATTTAATTATCTGTATCTCCTATGATACTGTGGGCCCCTTGCAGCCAAGGAATATGACTTTTTACCATTTTATCCCCAGTATATTTTCTGACACAAAAATAATGGCCAAATATATTTTTGCTGAATGACTGACCCATCATCACCCCAGTGGGTTGGAATGGTGGGGGAAGACAGAAGTTGGCAGAAAAAGAAAGACTGATGATTGTGGTGACTTAAAAGCAGAGGACACTAAAAAGTTTCTGATGGCCAAGGAAATGACAGAGTGAAGAGACAAGGGACAGAATGGGAGAAAATATCTGTATGCCATAAACCTGAGAAGAGATTAGTATCCTAAGTATATGAGGAATTCAGACAACTCAGTGGTACTAGAAAACAAACACTCTGTTTTACAATCTGATTTTAAAAAATGGGCAAAGGACCAAAATACACATTTCTCAAAAGAAGACATACAAATGCCCAATAGATAAACTAAAAAGTGGTCAATATCACAAATCATCAGAGAAATGCAGATTTTAGCCAAAATGACATCTCATTTGATACCAGTTAGAATTGTTGTTATAAAAAGATGAAAGAAAATAAATGTTATCTTTCAGCCCTAAAAGAGGAGATCCTGCCATCTGTGATAATATGGATGAACCTGGAGGATATTTTGTTAAATTAAACAAACAAGACCCAGGAAGACAAATTCTGCACATTTGTACTTACTTGTGAAATCTAAAAATGCTGAATAGAAGTAGAGAGTGAAAAAGGGCCAGAATCAAAACTGCTCTTCAACATCCACCAGTATCTTAACTGCTTAGCTTTTGGTGTGACTAAGGACCTTTGCATCAAGCATGAAGGAAAAATACCAAATATTGATTGACTTCCTGACATTAATGTTGTTTTAAAAAGGAGCATACCAATTTTAAAGTGTTGAAGTATAATTTCCTGGTACCATGGGAACAATTCTCACATAAATTTTAATAAATGTGCTTTTGGTAGTCTTGTCCAATATGAAAAATAATGTTTACAAGCCAACCATTTCAGAATATGCTTGTGTCTGTCATAGTTTTCTGAGTATATTTTTGCAAATTAGTCAATGTACATCTGTGACTTGGATAAAGGCCAACCATTATGGTTAATTTTTTTAATCACAATCATGAGATTGTTATTGAACTTGTCACTTTCTAAGGATGGAAGAGCAGTAATATTCAGTTGCTAACAGAAGAGAAATACTAATCATCTCAGAATGAAAAAAACCTATCTGATTATTTCTATAGTGAAGAATTTGCCATTATAAAAATTGTGTTATAAAAGATTAAGACCAGATTGTAATATCCTTTACAGCAAATTTTAAATTATACCCACCTTTGTATATCCCTTATAGCTCCAAGTACTGTGCACTGCAAATAGTGGATGTTCAATATATTTTTGCTGAATAAGTAGAAATTACCAGCAGTCATTAATTTAATTTGCCATGTCTTTAATAAAGGGAGAGCTTACCGAGCACATTTACAAATGCATTTGCCAGTAAATATCCATATTCATTAGAGGCATTGCACTGATAAACCGCACTTGATCTTTCTTGAACATTTGAAAAAATAATGGTATCACCATCTATTTTCCTGCTAGGGTCATCAGGAGCAACTGTTTGGGTATAAAAATAGAAAGCATATGTAGTTATTTCTGTCTGCTTAAAAGACATATAGTAAATGTGAGGTCTATATTATATACATAGGCTAGAAATGCGGAGTGATTTAGACATATGCGGTAAAAAGAAGACTAGAATCCAGGCAGAAATAATCTTTTTATTGTCCTTTGAATTTAGCCATTACCTATCAGCATTTATATATGCTCAATATTCATTTAATATTAAGTAGGTCAATTCTGTAACCTAATATTACTTTGAGAGATGCAGAAAAGTAAGCTTAAGTGTAGGTGAAAACTGTACAAATTCAGAAAAAAACTCTTGTTCACCAAGAGGCAGGCTAATGCTAAGGCAAGTTAATTATCAAAAAGAGAAAGCAAGGGCTAGTCAAAAAACGCAGAAACACTCTAGCTCATCCAAACCTGTCCCTTTTAAGAACTTCTTCCTGAAAAAAATAGATGAGTAAATAAAGGCATAAATAAATGTAGGCTAGTAATTAAATGTGAAAATATTTACTTTCTTGCTTTGGAAATTCTTGAGGCTGAAGTAAAAACCAGTTGTGCCAAATTTCTCTTAAAGCCAGCCTTTTCAGCTAAATCCCTCAAGTACAAGATCAGGATTGATCCTTACTGAAGGGGAGTAGGACTGGCTGGGTAACAGAATACGAGAGGATTTAGTCCAAGGCATGTCCAACAATTTGGAAGTGCTGTGCTAGGATGAATGAATTCCTTTTGTATGAGTGCTAAACCCTAGGCCATGACCTTCCATTGCTTTAAAAGTACACTGTGTCAGCATGTTGATCAAAATCAAAACTACATATCAGCACCTCTTTCTCTGAAACTGCACTCAGCAACCTGAACCAGTTAAGAGGACTTTACTTCTATCCTAAGCACTATTTCTCTTTCTTTGGTGATAGGAAAAGGATATGAATCTAAAGCATATTTATCACTTCATTGAGATGACATTATCACTTTGAAATAAAAAATATTTGGTTCATCTGTGGTTTGTTAACTCACTTAACAAACTTTAATTTTGTTGAACCAAATTGTGGTATTCGATCATCTTGTTTTATTGCAAATACTCAAAAGTATTATATTCACTCATTCTGTCATAGCTTTCTATGGTTGCCATAACAAGTTATCACAGATTTAATGGCTTAAAACAATACAAATTCACTATCATTCAGTTCCGTAGGTTGGAAGTCTGACACGTGTCTCACTGAGCTAAAAATCAAGGTATCAGTGGGCCGAATTCCTTTCTGCAGGTTCTAGAGGAGAAACCATTTCTTTGCCATTTCTACCTCCTGAATGCTCCCTACATTCCTTAGCCCCTGGTCTCTTCCTCCATCATTAAAGTTATCCATGTTATATCTTTCTGATCATTCTTCCATGGTCACATTCCTCTCTGATCACAGCCAGGAAAGATCCGGCACTTTTGAGGTTTATGTGATTAAACTGAGCCTGAACCAAATAACTCAGGATAATCTGCAGGTCTCAAGGCTCTTAACCTTGATGAGATGTGCAAAATCCCTTTTGCCATGTAAGGTCACATGTTCACAAGTCCCAGGGATTAGGATGTGACTGTTTTGGAGGATTGTTAGTCTGACTCCCACACATTCTATCACATTTACAGCCTAACAGTCTTTAGATATTTCAAACCAGAATATTCTAAAAATGTACCAGCATTGAAGTTTAGAACAACTTTTTAGCTTCCAAAAATTATTAAAACTCCAGCTTATGAGCTACTTCTCATGGTTGATTAAATTCCTGAACAGACATAATAGATGCTTTTATAAAAATGGTTTTTCAACACTCTGTTCACAACCAATAGCTAATTTATGAAATCATTTTAGATATTCCAATTTGCTCAACAGTGATAGGCTGTGCCAAAACACTTCTTGGCTCACATCTATTGTTTCTGACTATAAAAAATTCAAATTCTCTTAAGGAATACATTCCTCCAGCCAGAAGACAATTAGAAGTCCTAGTTCCTTCAACAAAACAGATTATAGTGGGCACCAGTGGCTCACGCCTCTAATCCTAGCTACTCAGGAGGCAGAGATCAGGAGGATCATGGTTCAAAGCCAGCCAAGGCAAATAGTTTGTAAGACCCTAACTTGAAAAACCCTTCACAAAAATAGGGCTGGTGGAGTGGCTCAAGGTGAAGGCCCTGAGTTCAAGCCCCACTACCAGAAAAAAAAAAAGACTATAGATTTCATCAATGAAAGAGAGTAAAGGACAGAAATGTTGCACTGGCTGAAGCTAACCATAGCTGTAGCAGGCAGCCATAGACTGAAAATGTGGCATACAGTAGGGCAGCCCATGTTCCCTGTCTTGCATCCCGAGTTTTGTACCACCAGGTCCTTTCTGACTCACAGGGATGTCACTTACTGTCTCCACAAGGCATGCTGGAACACAGAGCAGCACTTCTGGAGACTCTCTGTCAATTATTCTTAGCACCTGTGGACCCAGCTCCTGTGAACTCAGTGTTGGGAATCTTGAGGGAACTCTTGGTGCCAACCATGTGCCCACCCTGACTGCACCTCTGTAGACATGCCAGCCAGTAGAGTACAGCATTGTGTATTTTAGACTATAATGAAGCACAGGCAGACGCTCTGGGCCAAATATCTCTGGGTGGGTGGTAGACTGTGGGAGGAGACCGCTTCTCATTCCTTGGATATACGGAACTTTTAACAGTCACACACCTATGTGATGTTTAGTGAGTATAAGTTCTGGTTTTTGTAAGATGAAAAGGGGCTGGAAATCTGTGACACAATGATGTGACTATTCAATACTACTGAAATGTACTAAAAAGTGGTGAAGATAATAAATTTTATGCTTAATTTTTTTACTGCAATAATAGTAAAAGTCATACTACCACAAACATAGAACACAGAGCTTAACTGACAAAGGTAGGACAGTTTCCCAAAGTGTAGCTCAGAGTTGCATTTTTCTTTGGTATCAAGTATTTGGGAAGATATTCTTTACCTGAAAGGCATCTGACCCTTTCTACTTTTTTTACATTAAATGGAGCAGTCATCAAATATTTATTTGTGGTAAGATATTAAGGGATAAAACAAATTTGCACTTTAAGCATGGACAGTGAACAAGCAGCTTTCTCTCCATGGGGTTTGGGCTGCATTTTCCTTAAACACTTATTAAAGAGATGCAAACAAACCCAGGAGCTGCCACAGTGCCGTATGGTGGCTCATTTGGTAGCTGGACACAGAATGAAATCACTAGTGCAGAGATATTTGAAGCCTTTGGACACTATGTGCTGGTTACTAGGTGGGAATAACTTTCCAGCTTGCAAACTCAAATTCTCTACAGGAATAATAATTACTTCTTGGAATGCCAATTTCATTTGTTATAAATGAACACAGGAGAAAGAAATTTAGGAGCACAGAATCACCACATATGGCTTCAATCCCCAAGGACAAGGTCCAGAAAAGGGATGATAATCTTCAGAAAACATTTTCTTCTGACATGGCTGGCTAAAACTATAAATGTTTCCAACAATTAGAGAATGGGAATAATAAAAACGATAAGAATGTTACCTTGCAAGAACAGAATACTGTCAATCTTTAAAAGGTATTTATATCTATTGCATAGTTTTATTTGAAAAAGACTTTATGAAGTAGGCTAATTAGATAGTATTATATGCATTTTGGATAGAGAAATTATAGACAGGAGCACTTAATGCTTTGTTTAAATGAGATTAATGCTCAGATTTTCTGAATTAGTCAACTTTATAAATATCTCTTGGCATATGAATGTTTGGGCATGATGCAGAACCAATCTTTGGGTGAAGAACTGAATTTTCCATTTCCATCTGCTCTAAAAGGGGATGCAATTGAGCCCCTTACCTTTGAGAAAAGGAGAAGAGGATGCCTGGATGGAATCTTGGGGTTATTCTGGACTAGGCCTTTATACCACCTAAGCTGTTTGCCGTGTGTTAAGTGTGTTAATGACTTTTGATCTCTCCCTTCAGAACGGGCAAAACATGCTGTGTGAGAGGAGATCTGCCTTTGCTCATCAACTTTGCTCCTTTTCTTTCTCAGATCTGAGAAGTAAGGGGCCTTTAATATAAGGATGGTTTGATTTTATACATGTTCCACGCAGGAGACTTGAGATCTAACACAATTCACATAGAGGGTAACTGAAGGTCTGCAAATGTTAGACCCTCATGCTGTCTCCTAGGAGAGAGACAGGACTCGTGGTGTACATGGCCTTGGCCTTAGGGAGCACCACCAGGATGGCACATAAATTCCTCCAGTGGGAACTTATGAACACTCATCCAAAGGTGACTGAAGTCGTGAAAGGTGATGTCCTGGGGAGAATAGAGAAACACTTTGTCCCTCTCTGCTGGAAACAGGCTGTTTTTCTTTCTGGTCCTGGGTTCTACTTTCACACCCTCTCAGACACTGTAGGTCACACTGCAATCAAGAAGTTCTTCTTTAGCACGAGCTCTTACAGTTGTGTTATTTCTGACTTCTGAAGATTGTTTAAAAAATATTCTGGGTGTTTTAGAGGCAAATTCTATATTTAACACAACCTATTTTTTTGTTTCAAGGACAACTGTAAGTAATCTGATCAGTCTCAGGGCAGGGGTTAAGGGGCCGCCCACAGCTTCAGAAGCCATTGAGATAGAAGCATGTGCTCCTGGAGTTAACCTTCCAGTCTTGTAAAACAGTAGGTTCCATGTCTCAAACACATAGTCACAAATCAACAACAAACATTTTGCTGGAAGAATCCAAGTCTTACCTCTCCCTGCCCTGATTCTGCTTCTCCTCTTATAGTATCTGTGTGTACCTGGCAGCCAGAGCCTGCAGAGGAGGCAGTAAATATCTTTGGGCAATCACCCATGAATCAGGAGTGGGAGGCTGTGCATCTGGCAGTTTGGGTCCCTGCCTGTTATCTCTGCTGTGTGGCATAGGAAATGAACTTCAGGCACCTGGCAGGGATGTTGCATGGCTCTTTGTATGATTATACTACAGAGGCACAGCTGTTCCTGAACTCATCACCCCAACTGCTGGTCTACCCACAGTTTCTGTAGTCTCTGGGGTGGAAGATTTTGCCAGCAAGCCATCTTCTGGGGCCTATGCTGGGCTCCTGTGCAGGTTGATAGTCCCACTGTGTTCATCTAGTGCTGCTGTTCACTGGACCAGATTTTACTCGTGGTCCTAACTTTTCCCTCTGTGCATCTCTCCACCATCCTTCCTCCAGTGCTGGATCCATCTGTGGGATGCACAGCTCGGCAAAGTTCAGATGAGAGACAGATCCATGATGGTCCCCAAATTTCAAAGGCAATCTTGTTTTTAAAGATCTCTAAATTCAAGGGGCAACTACCAAGCAGGGTAGGAAAGGAGGGTCACAAGCCCCTCCTTAAATGTCTACTGATTTTTTCGACAGTTTTCTTCCTCACTTACTTTCTACTTTGAATTAAGGGAGGTCAATATGTGGGAGTATGTTCACTTGAACTTAGCTGTGAGAGACCACTCAGCAGAAGCTGTTCATGGACCAGCTGTTGTGGGCAGGGGTGGGGACAGCTATGCCTTGGCAGTGTCATTGTGTGGGGGAGCTGTGCAGGGCTGCCACCACCCTATCGCCTTTCATTGTGAGGTGTCCACCCAGTAATCCACACACTCCAGCTTGGTTACCTTCAGTGAAGCTGGCTGTCTATGACCTTGGCGTCGGCATATAGCACCTGCTCCCAGCGCCAGAAGGCAGCCTGGAGGATTGGTCCCCTTGCTTTGCTGCCATGCCTTGTGGTGTTCCTCTCCCTGTGTGTCCATCAGAGTGAACACTGAGGCATACAGAGGCTGGACACCCTGGATCTGCATATCTGCTTGCCCTCCTTTTTTTATTTGTGTTTTTTTTATTGTTGTGCTGGGTGTGCTCAGTGAGCACACCAACCTCATTCAAGTTTTGGTTTCCTTCTCTTGCCCTATCCCTCTTCTTCTTGGTACTTTGCTATAATTCCCTTCTAATATCCTCAAGCCTCTAACCAAGGTTTTTTTTTTTCTTTTCTTTTCTTTTTGACACAGAATCTTGCTATGTGGCCAAGGCTGGCACTAAACCCTTCATCCTCCTGTGTCAGCATACTGAGTGCTAGGATTTACAGGCATGCCCACTACACCTTTCATTTATGAGATGTCCATACACCTGGCTTCTCTCACCCAGTTTTATAAAACTGGTCTTTGCTGTGATTTCAAAGATTAAGGGGGACATAAATTAAATAATTAATTATTTAATTATTAATTAAAATTAATTAAATAAATAATTATTAATTATTTATTAAATAATAAATTTAATAAATTAAAGGTCCCTCACTTTGGGGGACCATGGGATAGCATAGTGGCAGCTTGGAGAAGCTGGCTAATGAGCCCAAGCTGGGCATAGGCAGCAGCACAGGGGTGGCAGTTGAAGGTGATGAGCATAGCCAGGAGGTTAAGTTTTGCTTGAGAATGATTTTCATGCTCAGGGAGGGAAAACTGGGAAAAGGGTGAGCATCCTGCAGAGGATCAGGGCCAGAGGACGTGCTGTGTAGATGTTAGACAGGATGTTGGCCTCTGAAGACCTGGGGACATCTGGGCTCTACTATAACTGAAAATTCTTTAAAGTAGGATGGCTGTATTTCTTATGCTTGTCAAAGCCATTGGCTGTAGGCCTAGTGTCCCTGCCGGGCTCCTGTGACTGCTATGATGCTTCCAAAGATCACCTGATGTTTTGAACAAAGAAGATAAGCTGAACTTTTTGGTAGTATTTATTTCCGACCCTGAGATCTTCCCATAGTCTAGGTTAGACACAGGAAATAATTTTAAGTCCCAATCAATACATGTACCATTATTTTAATAGCATAAACTATTCAAAGTCATAATGAACCTAAAGGCAATTTAAAAAACTCAAGGCAATCTGGCGCCTTTCTTAACCCGAACTATTTTATCAGCAGGTGTTCACTGTTGAGATGTAGATATACTTTTAAAATATTCTGCAACTACAGCCAACAAAAAAGACTTACTTTCTGTTGGGACTCCATTTGTTAACCAGCTAATTCTGGGTTTGGGGTTGCCGTTAGCTCTGCAGATTAGGGACCCATCCTCTCCTGGGGACAGCACAAGGTTTTGAGGTGCCATGATCCAGTATGGAGCCGCTTTAGTGAAGGAAGAATAAGAGACCAAAATTATGAATCAAATAAGTATTGCAGCAAAAGAATATATTGAACTATTTTAATAAATATAAGTATTTTATAAAAGACTTCATTTTAGAGTGATTAGTTTTATAAGAATTGCTTCAGAGAATACTTCAGATTTTCAAAAGAATTATTTGGGGAGATATGAATTTAAATTATGAACCCTGCAGAATAAATATAATTACAAAATTAGGAAGCAATTAAAAAAACTTTTCCATTTAGAATAGTGTTCCCATATATCCTTCATTCAGGTTACTGTAATGTGTAACACTTACATAACCAGAGCACAGTCGTCAAAGTAAGAAATTAACATTGGTACAATAATATTGTTGTCTTTTTGTGTGTGTGTGATGGTACTGGGGTTTGAACTCAAGGCCTTATGCCTCCTAGGCAGGTGCTCTGTCACTAATACTTTTAACAAAACTATAGACTATTAGGATTTCCCCAGTTTTTCCACGAATGTCTTATTTCTATCCCAGGATTCTGTCCTGGATACCACATTGCATGGACCTATCAGGTCGTAATCTCCTCTAATCAGGCAGTTTCTTGGTCTTTCCTTGTCATTTATGGCCTTAACCCTTTAAAGAAAATTAGTAAATATTTGGTAGACTGTCTTTCAACTCGGGTTTGTCTGATGTTATCTCGTAATTAGCTTGAGATTTGGGATTTTTGGTGACATACATGTCTAGTTGTACCATAACAGGGAAGACATGAGATCAACATGACTTATTGGTGGTGTTCATTTTCATCACTTGGTTAAGGTGGTGTCACCTAGGGGTCTCCACTGCAGTTACTACTCTCCTACATTCCATACTGTGTCCATTAGCTGTGTGTACTCAGTGTAGCCCACACTCAAGAAGAGGGGAAGTAAGCTCCATCTCCTTGAGGAAGAGGTAGTAAGAAATTAGTAGATACATGTTAAAACTGTCCCAGTGATTAACTTTTGGGGAGTAAACACTTTGAAATTATGCAAACATCCTATTTCTCTTCAAAGTTTCAGGAGCTAATTCTAGCATTCCTCATTGGATTTTGTCTGCAGCATTTATCACTATGGAATTAAAACTAATTTTCTTTTTTTTCATTCCTTCTATATTTACTAACTGGAATTCTTCAGTGAGAAGGCTTGAAGAGCAACTATTTAGCCTGGTTTAGATGCATCCTCAATAGCAGTGGGAAAAGATTCAAGGTACTATGAATGTTGATACAAATTTACACTTCTCATTATTGAAGACATAATCAAAGACATATTAAATTGAAGTTTCAGACCTTTCATGAAGCAAGAGGAATGCATTTGAGGTAATGATATACCTTTCACTGTGACAGAGATGGTGTGATGGATGGCTCCTAATGCATTTTTTGCTATACACTGGTAATTTCCAGAGTCTGCTTCTGAAACATGAATGATCTGCAAGGTTTTCTTAAAGTTCCGGTAAAATGTCCTGTTGATAGGTAGTGTTCCATCTTCTTTTACCCAGTAAATAATTGGGGTAGGTCTGATAGGACAAATAAATAATGATGTTACCAAAAAGAAGTTCACTTGTGAAATTCACCCCAAGGGTGAATTTTCATGCAAGTTTATAACAAATTCTTTTTTTTAATTAAAAAATTTAATTGACACGTTTTGCTGCATGTATAAATAGTGATCATCAGAGTAATTAGCATATTTATCATCTCATACATTTACAATCTCTTTTTAAAAAAAATTACTTTATTGTTGTGCTGGTGGTACATTGTGGCATTTACAAAAGTTCTTACAATGTATCAAATATACCATGCTTGAATTCACCCCCTCCCCCCATTCCTGGGATAGTTTCAACAGGTATCATTTTTATATTTACATACATGTGTACACAGTATTTGCACCATATTCACCCTCCTACGCCCTCTTCCCACCTCCTCCCCAGCTGGTACAGAGCCCTCCCCATCCCCTGCTGGGCATGACCCATTCCACTCTTCTGTTCTTAAAGATCACGGAAATATACATATATTTAAGTAACGTCACTTTTTTTTTAATAAATAATGCTCAAAACCTACACATGAAATGGCTAAGTTCCTATTTTCAAGTAATCAGAATGATACTAATATATGGAACACCATAGACTTGGACTTCAAGGTGCAGTATTGTTAGCATTAGTTGCTTTACAGAAGGGACCTAATTTTTTCTCTAAAGTTCTGATCAGTGAGGAACCCCTGCAGATTTTTACTATGTTAATCAAATGAATTAGCATTAAATTACTGATACTGAGTTATAATTCCCATCAGCTAGAGCTAGAAATGAACAGTGAAAGAGCTCACATACTTATCTGTGCCCATGGACCTTTACACACACTTCCACAAATGGATGAACTTTTCTATCTTATGGTAGGCTGATAATTAAGGAAATCAGCATTTCCTTAATTTCATTTTCAGTGATACCTAAAAATATTATTATGTGAATTGATAAGATTAATATACCATTTCTCACTCAACTGTGTTTCTTCCTAAATCCTACGAAGCCAGACATCAGGCTTGACAGATGAAGAGTCAGGATAATGCTTGGAGTTAGACCTTCTTCAAAGTCTGAGTTCTGTCCTTAAATTTCCCTCTAACCTTGGATCCCTAACCTTTTGGGGCCTCAGTGTCCTTAGTTGCCTTAATGGAGATAAGAATGTTTGACATACCTAATGACTTTAGAAGGTTTTCTTGGTGGCAAAATAAAAATCCACTCAAGGCAAACATTTCCTAAGCACTGAACTATATACCAAGCACTGAGCTGTGTGTTTGGAAGCAATAATGAAGAAAGGATGGCCCAGGCCCTCAGGACATCACATTATTTGTCATTACAAATGCAAAGACATTAATTGATGGCTTCTAGTATTGGCTTTGGTTGGTTAGGATGAATAAAATAACTGAGCATATCTACTTGATGAAACAATTTCTAAAATTAAAATATGCTGTGAATATAAAAAGGTAGAAAATTATGAAATAATTTCTGAAAAACAGAAGTACTATATACATGTGGAATCTGACAACGCACGATGTTTCCTTATTGTTAGACTAATTTGCATTTCCTGAGATCTGAGGTGAAAGGGGAATTAGGACAGAGCATCATCTCATAGTTTGTAAAACCTCAAAAAAACCAAATTATTTTAGAAGGCTACTACTTCACTAAACAATTGTTAAGAATTATGAGTATTTTGATTCTATTAGTCTAATGCTTCCTGATTTTAAGTGATAGAATTCCAATGTTAGTTTCATTCCAAGGTTTTAAGAATTCTTTGAGGAGTTTTGTGAAATGTCCAAGTGCCAAAAATATTTTATATAACACAGGATGAGCATTCTAAAACCCTGAAATCAAAAATGCTCTAAAATCTGAAACTTCTTGAGTGTCATATTGATCCTCAACTGGTAAAGTCTATGAAAATATTACAAAATCCCAAATCCCATCCAAAGCACTTCTGATCCTATGCATTTTGGATAAGGGATAGTTAATCTGTGTATCACTTGTCGGAAGATAAGTGACTAAATTGTGAGGATGGGTGCTTCTGCTCTCAACAGGATGGAAGTTGGAGATTAAACCATTTTCTAACAAAATGATGAAAAATGGAAGTTTAAAAAAATTCTAGTGAGAAAGATGGATTTTTGACAAATGTTTAAAGGGAGTTTTCTGTGTGAGGAACAGTCATGTGCAGTGTAGTTCCCTGACTTGGCCAGCAGAGGCCTCCATGTGCCTCCTGAAGTAAAGTTATTTCTGGATTCAGGAAAGAATAAGAGACCATTGAGAGGCCAGGTCAGGGCCAGCACGGGTCACCAAATGTGAAGGCCACTGTGCTTCTGGGGTTCCATTCAAGGCTGTCAGCAGATGTGCCTCTGCCAATGTATGTGCTCTGTGCCAAGCACTCCAAGGGGACTATGTAGAAACTCACCTGTAACGTGGTCCTAACCTGACAGTTGCTTTTGTAACTGGGTAAGACCCTGCAACCCTGTCAGAGGTACATCCATTGTGAGATGTGCACAGATGAGACATTTCAAAGGATCAGAGCTTGGCCTTGTGACATGTAATAGGAAGTAGTAGAAGGGGCAGAGCTCCTGTTCTGAGGCAGGTCCTAGAATGCCTTAGGACAACCTGTGGCAAAACTACAGGCAACTAGTAGCCAACAGCCTGGTTACCCCAGTCCACAGGCTCTGAGAGTCTGAGCCCACAGCTGAGTTGACTAGCAGAGTGTAAGCATGGTCAAGGAAACTGGGTACAGCATGGTGGCCCTCCAGGCTGCCGGACAAATGACCAATAGTCAATAGCTCCTGAGCCACCAAGTTATAAGGTGGTCTGTAACAAAATAGAAAAATTATGCTCCCTTATTAAAAAACATAGCAATCATAAAATGGTTACTGACACTTATTTAAATATGAAAATTATTATATTAAGAAAATGTTTTAATAATATGAGAGTCAAACAATCTGCTTTGGAAATAATTACAAATTTTTCTTTCTTTTATTTTTTTTCAGCAGTACTGGGGTTTGAACTCAGGGCCTTGTGCTTGCTAGGCAGCACTCTACCACTTGATCTACCAAACCTCCAGCCCTTTTATGCTTTAGTTATTTTTCAGATAGAGTCTCATGTTTTTGCCCAGGACTGGCTTCTCTCACAACTGGGATCACAGGTGAGTACCACCACCCCTGGCTTACTTGTTGAGATAGAGTCTTGCTAACTTTTGGCCAGGGCTGGCCTTGAACTGCAATCCTCCTGATCTCCTCCTGCTGAGTAGCTGGGATTACTAGCATGAGCCACTGTGTCCAGCCCTACATTTTTGATGATGCCTATAATATCAATGCCTCCTTACCAATCTTCTCTATTTTGGTAAGAAATGGGCATCAGGACAGAAAGAGTTTACTCACAGGCCTTCTGCAATGCACTCTAGTGAAAGCACATTTCCTCTTAATTCTTCTTTGTGACTTGTGTTGCCTTGTGGTGTTAAAAATGATGGTGGTCTCTCTCTACTTGACTTAGCTGCAAACGAGAAAATCAATATGCATTAAAATTATGAATGTGTGTTTGTAGAAACACAATCACAGTCTAAGAAGCTATCTAAAATTCCAATCCCATTTCAAAACTATTTAACATTGATTATGAAATTTGTTAAGCCACACACACATTCTCTGCCTTGCAGATGGCCATCACTCACTCAGCGAACCAGGGAAAGAAAGGATTTTGGTTTTTAAAGCTCTAATAGTAAGGACTGTTTTCTTTTTGTTCATTTCTTTAATTCAGGTTAGGTTTTTATGAATTTTCTGTGGGTCAGTAAATTTTCAACATGTCAACACAAAAAGGAAAACTCATGCTACTAAGCTACACATCTCTTAAGATTAGTGCTCAGGTCAAAGCAAAAGTTAACTGTCTTTGAAAGATGTTAGGTGTTTCAGAAATGGATTGTAATGGAGGAGTTATTTTGGCTTAGACTGGGGATAACATTATAGCCAGTTCTACCAGTTAATATATCAATATCCCCAAACTGCAAGGTTTATAAAAAACAAAGCAAAAAAGAAAATTAGACTCACTGACAGAGGCCCAGCAAGTTCCATCTCATAAATTAAGCATAAAGGTAGAGTTAAACAAATTGAAACCAGGTCACTTTGTTTTATGGATGGTCCCAAAATGTGGCCTGAATTTCTGAAGGCCTCTTGGGAAAACTGAGTAAAAATCACAACATCTTTGGATTCTATAGTCCTTCACAGTTTTCTAACTTAAAACATGACCTATTTGATACTCACAGAAAACACATTCAGTAGTATGTGATTTATTCTCATTCCTCAAAAACCTGAATCTCAGGAAAAGGTAGTACCCGAGGGAGATGTATTTACTTAAGAATTTAGAGATTGTGGGGAACTTACTCCTCCAAATCACCTTGGGAATGGCCTCAAGGCCATATTCTCCAGAAGCATATTAAAAAATAAAATAAAGGCAGGAGCTGGGCATGTCACTGATGATACTGTAATGTTCATATTTTGAAAGTGTAAAATTAATGCAGCAGGAATCCTGCCTTATTAATAGTTAAAAGATACCACATCAGAACCAATTATTGTCATTGTTGACTTTATACTTGACAGCCAAATTTTCCTCAGGGAAATGAAATTCTTTTCATTTAAAAGAATGAAATTAAATGATATACATTTTTAAAAGTTTACTTCCACTGAAGCTAGTGACTTGGTTTCAAACAAAACGAAGAGCAATACTGTTGCTAGTCACATTGAATAATGTCATGTGAAAACAGATGGGGAATGCAATGATTTGTTGTGAATGATTTGTTGTGAACTCACTTAACGTTAGTTGCTCGGGCTGTAGGAGTTAGCAGGTTAATACACTCAATCAATTCTTGTTTAGTTCATGAGGAGAGTTTATGAACAAGACAAAAAATGGAAAATACAGTTCTTGACATATATGAAAGGTTTTTTCTAAGTCATGTGGAATGGTTCTTTACATGAAAACATGTACGACAAGTTTCATTATTGTACATACATCAATGAGTATGCTTAGTGACATGCTTGAAAGTTTATAGCTAACTTTCAAAAGAAAAGTACATTTATACTACTGGTATTAAACATGTAACTAGAAATTTCATAAAGAAATAAGGTTAAATAGCCATGGAGGTGAAGTTAGTGAACTAAAGTCTACAATGAAGGAGAAGATATCAGTTACAATCACCATGACTCACCACCATAAAACTCAGTGTCACTCAAATTAGCAGCTATAGTGTCATTCAATTCATCCACTGAAATAAACAGAATATTATGAAGAAGGTACAAAAGTAGGGGAGAGGGTCAAAAACCATTGGGCAACAAAAACAGAAGTACATAGCTATGCTAAGTGCCCGCTGTATCATCCACAGTACATGGCTGACTCATCAATTCACTTGCCACCCCCAACCAGTAACATGTGAACCTATTGCTTAATCTTCAGGACTGCCAATCAAAGGCACTGTGGCATACAAGCACACTAATGCTCAGAACTCCAAGGGATTCAAAAGGTTACCATGGAAACAGGCATGGCAATGACAGCAAAAAATGTAAAATATAGTATTTAGGGCATGCATGTTCTTTCTTTCTAACACATACGCCTACACTTTAGTGATCACAGGTATTTTCCTGATCAGTGAACTTGTTTATCTTCAAGTCGATAGTATTTAATAATTAATAATTTGGTCTATATGTGCAAACATCACTGAAAGACAGATTCGGGAAGCAGAGGTCTTACCTGAAATCACCTTCACAGAAATCGGTTGCTTCTGTTGTATGGTTTGAGTATGATTAAATCTGGCATAACAGATGTAGTCTTCACGGGTGTCCTCTGGGAGGACATTGGAAAAATAGAGGTCTCCATTCAGACCTTGGGAAACCCTCTCACTTTGCGGAAGTCTTTGAAAAGCTAGGGAAAGGCATAGATACCCAGATCATTCCCTCAAAGTGGCCACTCTTCAAATTAGCAACACAAACATATCTACTAATAGTTCTGTGGAGTTCACCTGAATATATATGTATTCTTTCTACAAAACTCTTTGGATAAAAGAAAACAGCTATTTAAAAAAAAATGTAAGACACACTGAAACTCCCATGGTACCTGCTCAATCCTAATTTCTCTGGGGTGTGTGTAGCAGTGAGCCTAGAGTCATAAAGTGAGATATTTTTTAAGCAAGTATAAATAAAACATGTTTTTACAAAAAGTTTGTATGACTTTCCCTAATATGTAAAATTAGTCCCTAGCTGTAGCTATCTTAGGAAACACATTGAGGAAGTTTGTGAAGATGTTAGCATGGGTGGCAATCCCTCCGCAAGGAAGTCAGGCATATAGCTCTTCTGCCCTGTGTGAGTCCACCACCTAACTGAAGAATCAGACAGCAAATGGGCAAGCAATTAACCACGAGGTGTACCGATGACGCGATTTAGCGCTGTGACCTGCCCCTGAGTAACCCCATGCTCAGTTTCCCTCTACGTTTTCTTTTCTGAATTACTTTTCATCTTCTAAAAATGGCACATCTTTTACTCATCACATGTGTCACTTCTTGTCTGTCTCCGGAGGACTGACACCTTCATCTTTGGTGCATACTGTTGTAGCTCTGGACCAGTGCCCGGCTCTTCAGAGGGCTTCTGCACATACTCGTGGAAGGGTGGAATGAACAACCACCAGCATGCTGACTTTCCGGTTTCCAGCAGGACAGGTCCAGCTAAGGAACTGGCTAGTCTTAGGCATGCAGGAGGAGTCCTATGCGGATGAAGGATGCATACTGATCTGTGCATTGCACTTGGCCAGCTAACATGCTTCCCTGTAGCTCTGGACTCTGTTCAAAACCTAAACTGTGACAGTTCCTCAGTTCTGAGATGAGAGAACTAGGAAAAGTCCCATGTCCCTGTGACCTCAGGCCAGCTGGTCCATCTTCTGGCAGGATTTCTTCAGATTGAGTCAAGCAAGTATGCACCTCCTGTGGCAGGTGCCTGAGCTAACGTTCCACAGAATGCGAAGTTATGACTAAAAACCTGCAGCTCCCTCAGGCAGAAAAGGCAGAGAAATGTGGAACCAGAGCTAAAAGAATATGGTCACCAAGTTAAACTTGCTTATCGAGCTCTTGGTCAACATGGGGGTTGGCTGGCTGTTGCCAATTTACAGCTTTAAACCATGAATCTTTTTGGAAAGGAATGTTTTAAAAAATACTCAGAAAAAGAATGTATATTTAAAGCTAGGCATGGTGGCACAGGCCTGTAACCCCAGATACTTGGGAGACTAAAGCAGAAGGATTGTGAAGGTCTTTTTTTTTCCTTCTTTTTTGGAAGGTACAAGACCTCATACTTTCTAGGCACACCACACTTGAGCCACACACCCCTAGCCCTTTTTTTCTTTTTAGCTATTTATTGGAAAGGGTCTCATGTTTGTTTCTGCCTGGGGTGAGCCTAAAACTTCAATCCTCCTAATTCTGCCTCCCATGTAGTTAGGATTACAGATGCATGCTACCACACCTGGCTTGTTGGTTGAATGGTGTCTTGATAACATTTTGTCTGGGTTGGCCTCAAACCATGATCTTCCCAATCTCTGTCTCCCAAGTGGCAGAAATCATAGGTATGTTCCACCATTCCTGACTGGATTGTGAATTTGAGGCCAGCCCTGTCACAAAAAGAAACTAAAAACAATGTACTCTTATGTAATGAATACAAAGGCCTAACACAAGTGTTATCTTTTGTTTCTCCTATTGTATTAATAATGGGTGTTGATAGATAAAGTGTAAAATAATGGAATTTCACTAGGGTGTTGTCTTTTTACTCTTTGCATTACACTGGGAAAATTATATGCAGATATAAATAATTGTATAATATCATCTTGCAAGAGTGCTATATAGAGTTAAAATTTTTCTCCTATTCCAGATGCAATTCCACTTGAAAGGCAAGGTTTTCCAGTTGCCCAAGATGTATGTAAAGGGGATAGCCAGCTCTCATGTTGGTGAAGCATTTTTGTAGTGGGTAATTTGGGAAGTTTCAATGTGGTGTGTCTTTATTAAAAAGATAGGAAGCCACTTCTGAGAGACCCAATGACCAAATCTTGGACCTCATGCTGGCAGTGAGAGTAATTCTCAAATCCTTTGACATTGGATTTGCTACTTACTCTTTCAAAATCTGTAAAAGATGTTATGTAATAAAAGGAGAAATGTGTTTGTGTGTTTACTTGTTTATGTACTTGTTTCTGTGTGATACTTTCTCTGAGGGATTTCATATAAAAAGAGCCAAAAGCGAAAACGTGATGCACACAGCCTGTGATGGCAGAGGAAATTGGGTCTCCGAACGTCTTGAATGCATCCCCACCATCCCATCAAGGTCACAGTGGTCCTCATATTGCCAGGTCCGGCAGTCATGTCTGCTGACCTATCAGCAGCACTTGACAGCAGTTATTCTGTCTTTTTTTTTTTTTCCAACTGGGTCTCACTATGTAGCCAGGCTGGCCCAAACTCATTATCCTCCTGCCCCCGTCTCCCGAGTGCTGGGTGTACAGGCATGCACCACCTCACCTGGCTCAATCTGTCTTCTGGTGTACTTTTGCCACCTTGTACCTGGGATGCCACCCTCCCTTAGTTCTCTTCTTGCTTTTTCTGGGTCCTTCCTAAGTTCTCGGCCTCTGAGGGTTCTCGTCTTAGTATCCCAGGCTCTGGTCTCCCCATCTGTACCCAATCCTCAAATTCTCTCAATGAGCCTAGTAATTTAAGGTGTGCTGTCTATGCTGACTGTGGCCTTGAATTGTTCTTTTGACTCTCGTACCTCTGACTCTTGCTGAGCATCTCAACATGAATGTCTTAATGTCTTACAGACCTCTCACATTTACATGGTTTCTTAGCCAAACCATGTGCTACCTGTGAGGTAACATGCTAACCTATTTAGCATAGGAAATTTTGGAGGACAGAAGAATCAGAGCAATAAATAATTCCCTCAAGGATAGGGCCAGGGATAGACAAGCTTGAAACTGCCTTGGATGACTTTATTTCTCTTTGCCTCAGTTTCTTCATTTGGAAAGCAGGAAAAATAATTGGACAAGCTTCTTAGGGTTGTTGTAAAAAAAAATTAATGGGACAGCCCATGCGACAGTCTTGTGAGAGGACGAGCACTTAGTAAATGCCTAACCAACACCAGCTATTGTTGAGGACAAAAAATGAAAATACAACTTTGATTTCCTCCCCATAAGGGCCTCTACTGTGTAAGAAAGTGGTCATTCCATTTTATCAGTTGTTCAGTCTCAAAACTTCCTATTTATCTCTGGTTCCCCTCCTCATGCTCCCGCTCCCACTCCTACCCAAATAAACCCCAGAGGCTCTACTTTAAAATCTATCCAGAATCTGTGCCACTCTCCTGCTGCCGCCCAAGTCCAAGTCATAATAAGCCCTTGCCTAGGTTACAGCCGCGCCCCTCACCAGTTTCCCCACCTCTCTTTTGTCCTCCACATCTCCAAACATGTCCGGCAGTGAGATTATTTAATTTCAGATATACTCGCTCCTTCAATGCTTCTCTACTTTGTTCAGAAAAAAGCCCAAAGCTCTTTTCATGGTGTCCCTGTGACCTCCCTAGCCCTGCCCGTTGCTTTCCCCGTGGTGCTCTCATTGTGGCCACACTCACCAGGGATGTTCCTAACTTGGGGCTTGCAGCAGTGCTTTCCCTTCTACACAGATATTGAGGGGACTGGCTTGCTCTCCCTTTCCTGTAGGTCTGGGCTCAAAACTTTTCCTTTTTTTTCTTTTTCTTTATAATATTTATCATCGACTGACAGATTTTCAAGGTGGATTTATTGTCTGCCTCATTCCTCTCCTCCTCTTACTTCTGCTGCATAGATTGTGAGCTCAGTGATGGTGGCATTGTTTGTATTGTTTAGGGCAGTGTCTGGCTCATAAGTGCACAGTAAAACTGAGTGAATGCATGAGACAACATTATTTCAACAAGCAGCTGTTTTCCTAAGCATCTCCAAAATATTTTATAAGCATTTTATGAATCACAAAGGGAAATAATTGAATATGACAGCAAATTACTATAAAATTCTTGAAGAAAGAAAATTCTTATTGTTAAAACTTACAGTTATCCATCCAAAATATTATAGCTGGTGGCAATCCAATTGGGGGTCTACAGGGAAGTACTAAAGGTTGACCATTTTGAAGTGTCAATGGCTCAAGTTTTTCTTTGGTCCACAATGGTGACCCTATTAAATGAAAAAAATAACTTTAGTGTTATTTTTTGCATGGAAAAATGAAAAATATACAGCACTACAAAGAAAGGCAAACCAAACTTTTAGGGAAATACTAACTTGGATTTTCTGTATGTTAAATAATGAGAAAATGACTTTTTGATACAGTGTTAAAGGTTTAAAAAAGCAAAAGATAGTAGAAGAATAAAATGACAATTCTCATTCATTGCCATTAATAATCTGCATTCTGAGTAATTCTAAGAATTTATACTAAATATATCAAAATGACATATCATTTTGATTCAAGGATGTGCTCTACAAAGAATGGAAAACACTTAAATTTCAAAAAAGTTCATTAAATTGTTCATCTATACCTTTGGATATCATACAATATTATATATGTATACTTACTTATAACATTGATACTGTAGTACACATGATATATCAATAAGTCAGAAAAGGTTGTAAAATAGTACTTCAGAATGAGTTGGTTTTATGCATGTACATATATATTTGCCTACACCAAAATGAAAAGAATATTTGAGTAGTAATATTTCCATGAGAGGAAGGACTCATGAGCAATTTAACAATTTTCTTTATTTGCAATTATTTTTCTATTACGAATGCAAATTACATATATAATGTTAAAAGTTTTCAAAATGACCAGATCTGCAAATGGTCACTGTTTTTTAAATACTTGATTTTGAATTGTTGAGAGGATTTTCGTGCTGACCAGAGCAAAAAGAACCACAATAGTACCAAGACAGTGAGAATACTCTATTTCCAAGAAACTTTGGTTGACAAGCCTTACTTACTGGATGGGCGGACCACGATATTATTGGAAATTGCAGCTCCGCGTTCGTTCCTCGCTGTGCACTGATAGATTCCCTCGTAGGTCTCTGCTTTGCCTTCACTCATAATATTGATTATGAGCGTTCCTGAGCCAGGCTTCATGGTGACCAGAGGGTCTTTATCTATGTCAAAATGAGTGCCATTACGTGTCCAGGAAAAGCTGCAGAACACATCGAGAGTTAAGTTTGTTAATGATTCAAAGAAATAGGATTACTTACTCTTTAACAAGTCTCTTAACAGTTTTATGGGTTTTATACAGTTTTATACAAATAATTACAGATTTTAATATTCAGTAAAAGAGAAATCAGTTCTCCTACCTAAAATATTGCACTGAATCATGACTTAGGAAAAAGTCCTTGTTATACATTTCAAGGTACCCATCTTCTTTAAAACCAGCTCAAATCTAACACAAATTGCCTGCCATTTTTCTAAGAAAATATAAGAAGCAGGTCTCTCAGGCGTACTTTCTTTGAGTTTTATTAGCATTTTTAATATAAACTCCATTGTTCATAGAGTCAATAACTTGTCTATAAAACCATGCTCTGGGCTGAATATAACAAGAAAGGGCCTCCACCGGTTTGATCTATACGTGTTGAGAATTGATCACACCCATTTCAAGTTATCAAAATACAAAGTGGAGGTTGGGAGGAAGGTAAGAATACAGCTCTGTGGTGTTTTAAATGTTAGTTATTGCTGGACGCTGGTGGCTCACACCTGTAATCCTAGCTACTCCGGAGGCAGAGATCAAGAGGATTGTGGTTTGAAGCCAGCCCAAGGCAAATAGTTCATGAGACCCTATCTCAAAAAAATCCATCATAAGAAAAAAAAAAGGGCTGGTGGAGTGGCTCAAGGTATAGGCCCTGAGTTCAAATCCCAGTACCTTTCCCCAATATGTTAGTTATTAAACTTGGTAATTCTACATAGGCTATAGTCTGATAATTTTAAATTTTAAAGATGATTTTGTGAATCTTAGAAGGTATGCCAAATGGCCAATTTTCTCAGTTTTATTTATACAAAAGATGGCTTCATATTAAAGTCACAGTGTTCATGTAATTAAACAGATCATAACTAGTCATGGGGCAACATGATATAAAGGTGTACGTCTCTAAACTTTACCATGTTTTCCAGGCCCACTTGGATTCCTCTTCTCACTGCTTATCCTTACAGAAGTGGTTGCCAGGATTAGAGCAGCAGGTGGTTGTGATGGTGGAAGCTACTGGCATTTACTGGGTAAATACTGCTAGCCATTCTACAATGGTCAGGACAGCTTCCATTCCCATAACAAAAAATCCAACCCAAAATATCAATAGTGCTGGGCTAGAGGCATGGCTCAAGTGGTACAGCGCCATCTAGTAACGGTACTGAGGAAAAGAAATTCAGCCTTACAGAGTTACAGGAGGTTTAAATAAGTGTGAAGGGGAAGAAAACTCCATCAAAGGCCATCACAGGGCTGGGAGTGGTGGAGCGTGTCTGTAATTCCAGCTACCCAGGAGGCAGTGGAGATCAGGATGAGCCCCCAATCTCAACAAACAAGTTGGCTATGGTGGCACATGCCTGTGGTCCCAGCTAAGCAGAGGCATTGGTAGGAAGATCACAGTCTGAGACTGGCCCTTGGCAAAAGCACGAGACCCTGTTTGAAACACTTGAAGCAGAAAGGACTGAGAACATGGCTCCAGTGGTAGATCACCTGCCTAACAAGCACATAGCCCTGAGCTAAATCCCAGTACTGAAAAGAAAAAAAAAAAAGATATCACATTATGGCTTATGTGATAGAGAGTTTTCAATAACGTAACAGGATATTGTTTTGAAACAAACCTCTGATGAAGGTTTTGACATACAAGGGTATTTAGAACCAGGTGCTAAGCCCCAGTACTGTAAAAAAAAAAACAAAAAAAACCTACCAAACTTTAAGAACCAGGCATTAATTTGTGTTCAGTAAAGCCTAATGGACAAACTTGGAAATAAAATATCTGAAAACTTTTACCTTTTTATTATTACTTGTAAACTGTTACATTTGATTATTATAATTTAATCTTATTAAAATTATCTTTTACTAATTATAAAACAATAAATAGTCATCTGCTCTGAGACCTTGGGTAAATTACCTAGCAGTACAGGACATCTGTTTCCCATCTATAAGATGCATTGGTTGGACTGGATTGTGCAGTGTTCACGCCATGATCCATAAGGAGAATCCTGAGTACTGAATCCTGACAATAAATTTGGGGAAACAATTTAGGACTGCTTTATGGTCCTAAATTGTCCTACCATGGAGACACTAGGAGAGCTCTTGAAAGGCATCAAATTGTTCTTTTTCTTTTTAACAGATGAAGAAACTAAAGCCCAGAGAAACAGAATGGCCTACATCACAGGCCATTAGTGTTAGAATCAGGATTATGGAGTCTTTCCATATTTCCCCACAAATTATGAGTATTTTGTAGAAAAGTATGAATATGGGAACACAATTATCTGGGTTTTAAGAGGAACAAATTGGCTATAATTAAGCTGAGAGACATAACTGGTACTTGAGGAATATCCAGGGTCTAAGAAGTCACCTTCAATAACTTTGAAGAGCCCAAGTGGACCAGGGAGTTGTTTAGAAAAAACAGAGTAATCTTGTCAGTCATGTTGAGAAATAGCTAACTCAAAAAGAAAGTGTTCTACATGGCCTAACTTATTCTACAGAATTTCCAAACTCATTGCTATATTCAGAGAGACCCCTGGACCTCTTTTCAGAACAGTAAGAAAGCAGAAAGCCTCCTCACCTTGGAGGAGGTTTCCCCTTGGCCTCGCACTGGATTACGATATTCTCCCGAGGGTCAATGATGTAGTCTTTTGGAGACTGTTGAGTGATGGTTGGAGGTTGTACCACTTAGTTGCAAAAGGAAGAACAAAAAAAGAAATCATTCAATGGCATAATGAAATCATTTAATGTCATAATGGCAACCATTTTCCTATATTAAAATCGCTTGCTTTAGACTAAATATGCTCCAAATATTTCTAGTAATTTCTGTTGTGGCAACAAACGCTTCAGTGGGTTTTCAACTAAAACTTACCTAAAACTGAGAAATAAGACATGACTTTTGGTCACATTACATGTACTAAGTCCATTTTCCCATACTAAAAGTCTGGGAAAGCAATTACCAATGCAAGCCTAACATTAAAACATTTTTTTTCTGATGTAACAATGAGAAATTCTTTATTCTTTTAGTTCAAATAATGTCTTTCTTTTTTATTTTGACAGTGTGGGATTTGAACTCATGGCCTCATGCTTACTAGGCAGAAGCACTACTACTTGAGCCACTCACCAGTCCTCAAATGATGTCCTTCAACAAAATGTAAGTTGTGAGGTAGATTTGAGTCTTTCTTAAGAAAATAGTAACTGGCCTACAGTTCAGTAGTGTGCTAATGTAAATTAATTTATGTTGGGAACACAGACACTTAAGAAGATGATATTTAAAAGATTGTTAAATTGGAAAATTGACATGCTTTATCAGAGCCAGGAGGTAGGTGATTAGGAACAAAGATAAATCTTATTTGAAAGGTTAATGGGATTGAAGTTCTCTGTTCTAGAAGACAATGTTTCAATTTCACTCTTCAAAACACTATCTGATCCTTTGTCATGAAATTGTAGGGCAAAATTGTTTTGACACAGAACAATTCACTCTGAAGAAAGCCAGTATCAACTTCTGGTGCACTTCAAGTTTCTCTGAGATCACCCACCAGGTCTTCCTCTTGTGAAATTAGAATTACAGAGTGTTAGAACAAGAGGGGACTGTAGAACTTATCTATTCAGCCTCAGTGTTTGTTGCTCCAAGTGGCAAAATGGCTTGACAAGGGAAGCACAAAGCACAGGAGAGAACCCAGCTCTCTTGACTGGCTCTTGCTAGAAGGCCACTGCCTCGTACAACTCCAGGGAGAGCTGTCTACACAACAGTGGTTCTCAATCCTCACCCTTCCAAGGACATTTGGCTATACTTGGGGACAATTTAAATTGTCACACAAGGGTGGTGGTGGTAGTGGCAGTTGGTAGGTAGAGGCCATGGATACTTCTAAATGTCTCACAATGTCCTGGACAGTTCCTCACAACAAAGACTTATCTGGGCTCATCCATTGTAAGTGCTAAGAATGACAAAGCCTACACAGGCCACATGGGAGTGGCCTTTCCCTAGGACAGTATTTGAACTCTCACTTTCCTTTTCTTTACTAATGCATATATGACATCGCTTAAAATTTTCCTATTCTGAATCTTCCCTGTTTTCTCTGCCCATACTTTGTGCTTCTTTCATGAAACTTCTTCCACCTGTCAGCCAAGCATTTCCCAAGCAAGACGCAGGAACAGCCCCCTGCCCTTATCTCTCTTTATTGAGGTTTTATAAATCTGCACACATGGACTTGTTCTCTTGCCTTGCCTCCAGTCTTATGGCTGATCTCTAGATACCTTTTACTAGATATCTGAGAAACACCTAAAGTATAAATCCAAAACTAAACTCTTCATTGTTATCATTGTGTATACCAGTTACATGTAGGATCCTGGACAGTATCAATTTTCCTTCCCTTTAGCAATATCCCATCCCTTTCTTATCTTCCAGCAAGCCCAGTTCTTCTTCCCAGTCTCCATCATACACACAGAACCCTCCTTCTTCTAGCCCTGTCAATTTTCAGTGCTAATCAGCAGTTTGGTCTGGTGGTTAAGACCTTGTCTATTTGCTTCCTACTCATTATGAGACTTCAAGCAAGTACTTAACTTCTGTAAACCCTAGTTTCCTCAGAGAGAAAATGAGGTTTAAAACTAGTATCTACATCCTAGGCAGCCGGAAGAATTAATAAAACAATTTGTGTCAAATTCTAGTGCATGTTAATGCTATTTAAAAATTACTATCATAATCATTCTGATTTGGACCAGCTTCACCTTTGAGTGATCAATCTTCAGGCTCTAGGAGTATGGAGTTTGTGATAATGGAAGGAAGCCTAGGATTCCCCACTCCAAAAATGATCACCATAGGCAGTGGGGGAGGGGATTCTTAGAGGAGTGACTATTGTCCATACATGCTTGGGGAGAGGGACTGAGGTGCAAATTTGGTGGTTTCAAATGCAGAGCTTCTCCTCATGTGTCTGCAGCTGAGCTGGCTTGGATGCCAGTCTTAAGTGCCAGGAGTTTACCATCTGGAGTCACCTTTTTGAACAGTGCTTTGGTTGCATGGCAATTAACAAATGCTTTGCAGTAATAAGTTATTTTACATAATTTTTCTGGTTAATCCAACATCAAAAGAAAATTTCAAATGCCTAAAAACTATTTTTCTACTAGATGATAAATGCTGCCCAGCTGTCAGAGGCAGCAGAAATTTTTGCTTAGAGCAAGCCACTCAGAAGGCATGTGAGAGGAGCTGCTTGTCTTTTGCAGATTTCAAGACTGCATTTGAATTCTACTGATAGCACCTAGAAACACTAGTCTACCCAACTTAAAGGCTAATGCAGCAGAAAGGGCATACAGCTGCTGATTTGGGTGAAGCTTCTGCATACATCCAACTTTTAAAAGATGCCAAAAACACATTTTTGTTCCAGTAAACACTTGATAGCATTTAAAACTGAATAATCATTCTTTAAGTTTTGTGAATTTTCTCATTCAGTTACATCAGATGTGACAACAAAGCTTGGATGTTAGTAGAGCAGCATATTGGTAAAAGAGTTCACAATGCAATAAAGTACATTTGCATCTTGGTATTTAAATGAAATGTTTAGCTATAGTAAACACACACACTTACAAAGACACTCATATCAGAAAACATAACATTGTGCATTTAATTCATAATATTAACTCAAAAAACACAGTCACATTTTCACACTGCCTAGTAATTTATAGAAAGACACTTACAGTCTTCAAGCAGTTTTGCTTTTTCCCCATCAATATCAGCAGGTGAGTGGGCAAACAGGATTAAAGAAAATCAGATGTTAGTTAATGAGAATGTTAGAACCCTGAAGATAAAAGGGGCATCTTGTTTACTTGATTTGACCTAAAACCAATCCCCGCATAATGAAAGCAAAGTTGTGAAGTTGTAAGAGAAAGAAACTTGCATTCATGCTCTTGTTTGATACTGGAGCAGCTTCTCACAGAAACATATGGAAGAACAAAGGCAATGCTGTAGGAAAAAAAAAAATTCTTCCAGGAACATGAATGGCTAATTCCATCCCATACACATTGTGCAGGACTAGTAATTATGTTCATTTGAAAAATAGCTGAAATCTACAATTAATTTGAGTTGTCACATACTGTGTAGTGTCTGATCCCATTATCCCAGACATCACTATGTACATGGTAATGATACTTAACAATGGGACATTGCTACAATGACAACTCTCCCTCCAAGTCAAATCCAATACTGATTTCAGTTTTTACATTTCTGTGGTTCTCTTCAACTCAGTAATTGAGCTTTTTACACTGCTTCTGATTTCCTCAATCACCCAAGGATCTGGGTCCCATAGCAAGGAGCTGCTCATGTACTAGAGGAAGGGTGTGCAGAGCAGGAGCAGGGAAGAAATTGCATTTGCATGTTATTCCAATCATTCTGCAGTGCTGCCTGTCATTACTACTTGCAAAGGTTAATGCAGGAGTGCCTGGGTTATCCGTGACTTTCTTTTCATCATGGATAGGCCTCTTCTCCATTAGCAGCGATAATTGAGTTAGCCCTAGGTGCCTGTTTCCCTCTGATTGTTAGATTGAACAGTCAGATTAAGGGGAATATATTTAACATGGGAGAGAACAAAAAGCATTGCTCTCAAGTGCTTTTCTTTCTCTCCAGTGTATCTGTTAGAGCAAACCTTATGGCATCCCTGCTCCACTAGACTTAAGCAATTATATAAATATAGATATATGTATATACATCTCTCTCTCTCTATATATAAATATATATACATACACATATGATGAAATTAAGGTCATTGGATGGATTTTTTTAAATAAGAAAAAGACTAAGGTAAAAAGGAGAAAAATAGAAGGAATGAAACAATTTGGGTTACAGTACATTTATACATGGAAATGTCATAATGAAACTCCCTGTGTAGTTATCTTAAACAAACAAAAATGTCTTTTTTCAAAAACAGAGAATAGGGAGGTAAAACAGGTCCTGCCTGGGGTTTGGTACCAGTGGGAGGGGGAGGACATAAGGAAGGGGTGTAGGGGGTGAATATGGTGGAAATGTCATGTACTCAATGTGTGCAAATGGAAACATGAGACCTGTTGAAACTATTGTAAGAACGGGGGAGGGGAGATAAAGGAGAATGATGGAGGGGGTAAGTTGAACTATGATATATTGTAAGTACTTTTGTAAATGTCAAAATGCACCCCCTGTACAATAATAATATAATAAAAATTTAAAAACTAAGAAAAACGATTGCATTTTATTGTATTTTACACTGTAGAAGCACAGCAAAGGAAGTGAACAAAGTGTGTGGCAAAGCACATCTCTTCTTAATGTCTTCCCACTGGCAGATGCAACTTCTAAGGCAAAAAAGGACATCTCAGCAATTGAATAGCCCCAGGAAAGCACTATCTTCCTGGCACCTTAGAAAGCTTGCCAAACAGATGTTCTATTCAGGAAGCTAATGGATTTAAAGAGGTCGTGCAGATTAGGGATAAAGGATAAATCAATGCTGAAGTACAGTAATTGCTCAGATTTCAAATTCTGCTTTCCATTGCAGGAAATGTAACCAATCAGAACCTAGCACTATCTTTATTTTTCACAAACAGGCCATCTAGACCAGGGACAATATGGTGCATACTTCACTACTGGGAAGAGAGGGGCTAAATACAGTACTCCCTGTTTGCTTCCTTTTAAGTGTTTTTGCACACCACTTATCTTATTCTAAAAACATTTGCATCTTAATCTTTAATTTTGTCATTTAAGCCCTAAAAGACTTCTCTAGCCTTGACGAAAAGATACTTTTCTTCCTTGTAGACTCATATTTAGCATTCCATGTTAGAAAGTGAGACAACTGCCTTGTCGGAACCAAGAGAAATGAGGCATGGGTGGCTTGAGGATGGAGAGAGGTGCAGGGTTGGAGAAATATCCTCCAATTCCTTCAGAGAACTCTCAGCATGGGAAGGGAGAAAGTGACTTGGTGAGGGGATAAGTGGCTCCTGTAAAGTGGTTCATGTGACTTTCTTGTAAGACTACTTCTACAAAGAGCTGCCTGCTGGGAGGATCCAGGGAAGTTGCACAAGTCTCTCCTTCACAGGCTATCCCAGCCATGGTATCCAAAAGGCGCTTGAAGGGAAGAGGATAAGGAAAGGGAAAGGACAGTCTGTCCATTTCAATGGCCAGTTCTGTGGTCTGAGTCTTCACAAACACCAGGTGCTTGAGGTAAACACCAAATTAATTTTGATGATTGTTTCACTATTACACAGACACCTCCATTCATACAGTTCAGGGTGATGGTACATGTTGGGAGGTTTTGACTCCTGTCCTAAGAGCTTTAAAACGTTAATACTTACGATCAAGAGGGACTTCCAGGGCACTAATCACCTGGCACAGGAAGATAACGAGGGGCACTCTGCCTGCAGATAAGCGCTTCTTTCTCAACATTATTTTAAACAGCATTTGCTTCACTCCTGCTGAGACCCACGAGCTGAATTTCCTTTTCTTCTTTCACAAAAGATTTGTGTGCAATGTTTAAATAATTTTTCATGCAGGGAACTGAAAAAGGATGGGATAAGAATAATAATTATAATGTCTTAAAAAGAAGGAAAGGAAGAGCGGAAGTCTGCACACAGAAAATCATGTATTATACATGAACTCTAAAAGGGAGCTAACTTTTAAATATTTAACTCTCAAAGACTGGAATAATCATTTATTCATAAATCACCTAAAATCAGTTCAGAGATATTTGTGGTGATGTCAGGCAGAATCTGTCGACTTTTCCATCCTTATGTTTTTTTGTTTTTTTAAAATATTTGTACTTAAAGTTCTCAGAGGCTATCATGTCTTTCTTAACAGATCAGGAAAACTTGGCTTTTAAGCCCGTCAGAAAGTGACCAGGTTGTGACTTTGGAGGGGAGGCCCAATTGCTTTTCCATTCCAGAGGTCATCTCTGGGAAAGTTTAGGGCATTGTTACAAATTTCCTTCAAATCCCAAACACTGATTTACCAGAAAAAACTGACAATTCCAGCTACCCCCCATCTTCTGCCTAAACTGTAGTCACAGACCCTGCTGGGCTCTGAATTCCAGACCTTCCTCACTATGGTTAACCTTCCTTAAGAGTGTTGATTAATTTTTTCTGAAGGGTCTTCTTTGATATATTGGGAGTAGCTGTATGCTATCTATCAACTAAAATTCACTGTATCCTTAAACAAGTATAAAAAAACCTCAGTGATCTGGCCTCAATTTATCCTACTACCTTGCCATCTTCCATTTCCTATTTAGTTTGAAAACCAAAATCTAGTCAATATGGTCAAAGTAGCTGTAATATCATGTCAGTATATGGAGTAAGGCTTAAATATATGGAAAAACTGAAACAATGCTAACAACTTGTGTTTTGTTAGCAACTGAATTCTGATTTAAATCTGGCTATAATATAGTAGAATACTTTTTGCATAACAAATACAAAGAAAAAAATAGCTAAACATAGGCATACTTATGCAAGTATAACTTTGTGAATGAAACATCCGTTCTATGTTGCTTGATTTAAGAGCCAGGAAATTCATCTTTCTACATGATGATATGTAAGTATTCATGTTCATTAGGCATAGCAAGATGGGTATAGAAGCTTTTCCAAAACCATTTCTGACCAAAAATATAAATCAGACTATTTTTCTGAGCATGGAGAGAATATCTCTGTCATTCAAACAAATTTATTCAGGTGTCTCCTGATTTTCCTGTTGGAAATGCTAGTTCTGAACTCACACAAAAGCTTCAGGGAAAATAAAAATGAATGACAAAAAATGTGTTCAAACAGCAGTCAAACTCTGAGACACAGATGGCATGCCTGACTGATTCCTGTGCCATGCTAATTGGATTTATTAGCGTTAGGTGCCTACCTCTCTGAACAGGTGCTGGAGAAGTTTAATGCTTTCCAAAATCTGTACTAATACACTGTGATCTCTGTGAGATCTTAAACAGCTACATACAATTTCTAAGTTCTTCATTATTTTACTTGGATGCTTTAACTATTCATCCTTCAAAATAGAGAAAACCATGAAGCAATCAATCAACCTTCCTTACCTTTTAAGATATACACAGAATAAATGATTGTGCACAAAATCACAACGTATTATAAAGAAAACAACCAAAATTTTAAGAAAAACCGAGAGAGTACTTACTTAAAGAGATGTGAGTAAATATGTCATCATACTGCTGGGAGGTCAGGAACTACAGTAACTGAAGATACAGTCTCTTCGCAGAGGTTTTAAGATAACTGTACCATTAGGCACAAAATCATCTCTAGCAGAAGTTCTCTTAGGGGAGGACAAAGCAATGGTCCAGCCCATCCTTTGCATCCTACCCATGGAAAATTACCCACTCCTCCTCCATATGCCCTCATAGGTGAAAATCCAAGTGCTGAAAGACAGCATTAAGTCTCCAGCACTCAATCAAACTGAAAATCAAATACAGCTATAGAACTGAGCTTTCTCTCAGTAACAGTAATGTGTTCTGAATACCTCACACTCTCAGTATTGAGCTTTGCACTCAGTATTGATGTAAACACCTAGCCCACCAGAAGCCCATCTGCCTGCATTTGCCTTGAAAGATGATGGTCATTCTCTCTTAAGTGGAAAAATCATAGACTAAACTAAATGCTTTATGTAATTATATTAAAGCAAATAAGATCACAATATGAAGTAGCATCTCATTTTTAGTTAAGTCTAATGAGAATGTTAGCTTGTAATTTTCAAAAACTATTTGCTACGGACATCTTAAAGGATGCTTGCTTCAATGAGATAACTGCATGTTCATCTTCAGATAATAAATCTCTCTGATATTTAAAATCACATATATTGTTAAAGCTTTCAAGGATAAGGATAAATAGTAAAGCTCATTAATATTACATTTCATTTAACTCCATTAAAAACAATTTTTCATATGTTATTCACAGAACCTATGAAACAAAAAGGGAAAAAAACCATCTTCAGTATACTTTTCATCACTAGAAAAGAAATGTGGGGCCGGTGGAGTAGTCCAAGTGGCACAACACCTGCCTACCAAGTGTAAGACCTTGAGTTTAACACTAGGCACCACCAAAATAAATAAATAAGGAAGGAAAGAAAGAAAAGAAATACAATCCAAGGTTACTTTACTTCTTTTGCATAAAGCTCATATTAAATCATAGAGAAGCATTTACTATATATTTCAAAAGAAAACAAAAGAAAAACCTAACATTTTTACCAAGGATTCACACCAACCACAAGAAAAGTAACTTTCCTGTTGCTTACTTAAGTCTTGTTTTTAGAAAGAAAAGAAAACCTTTTCTCTCAAGTAAAAGATGGAATTATTTTAAGTAAAAAAATCAGCTTCCCAGTGGCATGGGAAGGCCAAGCAGTATCGTTTCCTTCTGCTCTGCTGTGCTTTTCAGCATCCAACACGAGGGGTCCAATGCTGACTGCGCATATAATGTGATCTACGTTATATGTAAATATAAGCAAATCAGCTTATGTGACTGGACACCCTATAACACACCAGTCATTGCTAAGGTGGCATGCCTGAGGCTGGGCTTGCTTACTGCATGACAAAGTGAGTGCGGCCTGATCTTTCTAGCCTTCCCTCTGGAATCTCACACTCAAATCTGTGATTGAAGAGCACAAGAATGGGCTGGGCTGGGCTGGGCATTCATGTGCTTGTTCTTTATGGTAAATATTTAAAATACATTTTAAAAATGACCATCCCTGAGTTGGCTGCCAGAAAATGAAAAAGAAGTAATGGATTCTGGATATCTATAGATCTTCCCAGTGTTGGGCCCAGGAGAATACCAGGAGCCTCTTCACAGTAGATCCCATGTGACTAGAACTCCCTGAACTTGTACTACATGCTGGCCCTGGCCTTTTAAAGGAACAAAGACAATGGATACAAAACATACTTAAAAAAGTTAATTTTAAAAGTAGATGATATAAGCCCATCTAATATATAGTAAGCAACCAGCAGTCCACTTTCTCCCTTGGAGGGCAGCAGTTACTATTACCAAGTTTTGTGAATCCTTCTAGAGATATGTTATGCATAAACATAAAACTATATAAAATGTAAAAAAGAATAAATTAAATAGATTAAACAATATTTTAAGGATATTTTGGATTGAAAAATTATAAAAACCTTTTCAGGTATTGATGTTACATCATCAAAAACATCAAGATCTTTCAATGAAATCTAGCTATATAGAATATATTAAATTATCCAGACACTGGCATTTCCACATTTCTTTTACTTAACACAGCAATTATATGATAAAATTGAGAGCTCTAACACAAAAGACAAAACATGGTTAATGTAAAGTCCATATGTGTGAGACTAGTAACAACCTGAGCCAAGAGGGCACCTGTTCCATGCTTGTGCAGCAGGTATCTGATGACAGTTGTCAGGATCAGCTTCAGGTGCAAAAGAGCTAGCTGGAAAAGGAAGGATGGTTGAAGTAGGAGAGGAAAGAACTAGTTCTTACAAGAGGAAAAGGAATATCCTTCTTATCCCCGTCTCTAATGCAATCACAGCCAGTTTAACAGAAGGAAGGAGATTACTCCACTCTGAATGCTTGCCATCCTCAAAGTCTCTCTTCATTGACCCCACCATTCTGACCAAGGCTAAAAGAATCAGGGTGGGTGTATGAACAAAGGCAGGCAGTTGCGTAGAGCCTGTGAGATGACCCGGCAACTTCAGAGGGACAGAAGAGTGACCAACTAAGTGCTAACAAATTCCTTTCTCCTGGAGTGGGTGAATGTGAGCCAGGAAGAGAGAGTGAGTCAGGAGTTTGGAGTAGGAACAAAGGCCAAAGGTCAAACAGAGGCAAGGCAGCATGAGCAACTATGAGTAAGCAGAGGATATAAGAGGTGTTAAAAGCAGAATGAAGCCAATGGGGACCTAAGGATCAACAGAAAGAGGGACACATGGCTGAGTGACTATGCCATCAGTGGAACATTGGACAGGTGATAACAAGCACCTGCCACTCTTGCATTCATATGATAACCAAGCCTAAATCTCTTCCTGCCCCAGAGTTCTGATTCTGTGTGGGGTTTGCCAGAATTGTGATTGTGGTTGAGCTCTCTCTGTCTTTCTTCCATCTGTGTATTTGCGTATTCTATCACAACCTTTCATTAACATGGCAGGTAGAATGTTCCATTAATGGTGCCTGGGAAGCATTCCTCCCAGTATCCCTTTCCTTGTGTAGTCCCCTCTCAGTGACTCTGGCTTTGACCACATGACATGCTTTGTTACAAGGATTTTAGTGCGTAGTAGACAAGTAAAGGTGTGATGAGCATTTGCACCCTGGAGCACATCCTCTTATAATGTTCCCTCTGGGAACTATACTATTTGAACTATACTATTGCTGAGGAGAGGCCAATGGAGAGGGATCTGGGAGATAAAAAAAAAAAAAACAGTTGGGATGATCTGGCTCCAGCTGAACTCCCAGCTCAAAGCAGCTGAGTAAATGAGCTGTTAAACCACAGGCAACAGAAGAATCATTCTGTCAACTCTCAGAGTTATGATAAATAGTAAA